TCTCTTCTGTTAAATCCTTAAATTAACTGCATGCAAATGCAGACTGTAGATGCTTGTTATCTGTGTGTAGCATGCAGGATAAATGTGAATACTTAGTAGTGAACTAAATATGACCCTTTGATTCTGCAGATGGTAAGCAGAGGCATACTGCTAGGTTACAAAACCATGTAAATATAAGGCCGAATGACCTGTAATAGAACAATGGATGGTGAAAGAAGTAGCAAATAACAATCCAGAAGAAAAAAAGCACATTAAACTGGAAAAAGGTGAAACATGAAATCTATCCCTTTTCTATAAACACATGTGGAAAGAATAACATCTAGCTTTTTATCCCCAGATTCTTTTATTTTTCCCCTATACATTCCAAGGGAAGATCTGCCAACTTTTGGCTATATCCATTTCTCTTCTGTTGTTTCCCAGTATTAGTGTGCTCTAGCACACATTCCTTCCTAAGACTTCGAAATGTGTCATTTGTTAGGCCTATGTGTTTAAAAAACCCATCCACCCTTACCTCCTTTACTCATAGCAAGCTGGGTGGCAAACAACGTAATGGCATAACCCTCTCACATACTACAGGTTTGCTTGAAACTTGTAACCAGACTTCACACTGCATGCTTTGTGTTATTGTAGATCAGAAGACCATACACTGATACATTCAAATGCTTCTAATGCTCCCTTCATCCTAGAATATACACTGGGGCAAACATACCTGTGTTTTGCTTGTTGAAGCCCCCTGATGTAGAGCTTCAGTACTTCTGGTATGTAAAGCACTTCTAAAATCTTAGGTACAGGTCTGCTTAGCATTACACATATAAACAGAGGGTGAATTCACCTCTACACAAAAGGTTAGCAGTTTCACTGCATTAGGACTTGAATTGGAAATTATGGGGAACAGGCTCAAGACAAAGGGCTGTTTTTACCAAGAAAGATTAGTCACTGCACTCAAAATACTGAGTGAGTCAGGGTGCTCAAGAATCACCCTTCACATATAATAAAGTGAGAGAGGGGTTAGAGTCAGAACTGAGTCAGAGCTAACTGTGTTAAAGCAATGTTCACTTAGACTAGGATTTAATCTGTCTCAAGCAGCAAGAAATGTAATTCTCAGTCAGCTTGATTCCAAATCCATTGATTCAATGCTAGTTTTATTTGTAAAAATAGTTCTCTGGGAATCTCTTCTAGAGATGAAAAGCATAGTAAGAGTTAACAGAATATAAATAAGCGTTCTTATGTCTTTCTCTCCATCTCTCCTTCAGTCCCTTTTTTCTTCTTCAAGTGGAGGAGGAGTGTGCAAAGACCCACTGAGAATTTTGCCTGATGCCGCCCTACGAGCAGTGGAGTAAATGAACAAAGCACTCCTGATTACTCACTATCACTCTTTAACTCAGTAGCATCCTCAGCCACAGAGCTCTGCGTTTGCATTTTGTGGGAATGTTACATGGGATAACGAAGAAGGGAGCCAGTGGCTGAACAAAGTCTCTAGTTCTGGTTTATTATTACATCCATTTCAAACTGCCTGAAGCAGTTGGTAGTGTTCAGTTCTAGGGTCACAAATCACTTGCTGTTATGAAAATGTGCTTTGATATACTTGCTTCCTTTGGTTGATAAACATGATTAAGTTTGACAAAGGAGAAAAGAACTGTTAGGATTAAAGCATAGAACAAGCAGTAGGGGCTGCTATTACATAAGTCCCCTGGAGTTGGTATTCAGCAGATTTCTAGATTTAAGCAAGTAAAATTCTCTTAGAGATCAAAAATCATTGTATAGAGATTAAGGATACTGCAAAATCCAAAGAATGGACTATATTCTTATAGGGACTATAAAAACAGTATGTTTAGGTTCTCATTTAGCAGATCTTGCAGGAAGAGTGTTACTTAAAACTGTCTGATGTTGACCATTGGAGAAATGAGGAAAGATACTATAATCTTATGCAATCCCAGTTTTGGTCTGTTCCCTTGACCTGGATTAACCTTTTTCCTTTTATCTGTATTTTAATTCCAAACACCTCGCTTGAATGCGACTGTTGCTATGTCTCTGCTAAAACCTTTAATGAGCAACACTAAGGTCAGCGGAAATAAATCTGAACTCTATTATTATTTCATACAAATACTGTGGGGATCCTTGAATTTCCCATAATTATTAGCGTTTTCAATCTCCAGTGACATGTTCAGCATCTGGCTGTCTTTAGTTTATTGATCTCTTTTTTAAATGGCTACGTTTCAAGAGCCATTTAAAATACACCCTCCTGCTTAACTCTTATTATTTACAGCCACACACAGCGCACAAAGCCTGCACAGAAATGGGCCCAATGCTCTTTATCAAACAAGAAACAAACACCAAAATGGTGGTTAGAATCTTAGTCTAAATAATTGTAATTGAGGTGCAGTACAACAAGATTATGTGAACTTACATTCTTTAAGCAGCATCACTGACTACCACCTACAATCATCTACAGATAAACAGAACAATAATAATTTATTCACAATTTCTTTCCTGGGTCATGAAAAATGTAAATTTAAATTATAACACACATTCAAAACTCTTACATTGTAACTACTGTTGATAGACCAATGAAATATCAACTGTGCATTCTATCCCTTTATTACAGCACACTCAGATATACTATTTTGTGTAATCAATATTAACAGCGATCATGCCCATTAAAATGTGCACAATGTTTTCTAGACACATAAAACTTGTGGACTTCAATCAATAAAAAGCCCAGTGGTGCACAAAAATTGCTGAGTCATGAAACTACACAGCTATTAACCTGTGTTGTTTTGTTGTTTTGTTTTGTTTTGTTTTTTTTTAAATAAATCTATTCTCTGTAGGAGCATGAGTAGCTAATTCTTTTATAAATTATTAAATATTCATTTCATTGTTTGCATCATTTTAATACCTACAGGACTTGTTAGTGTACCAGCACTCCAACTGCTTTGATTTCAATAGCTGATCAAATATCTTTGACTCCTTTAAAAAGCCATTCCAAACTGGTTTGGATAAAGGCCATATGGGAAAGGCCAATATTGCTACGTGGACTGAAAAATGGCTGGTACACAGAATCCCATAGGAGAAATGGGTCAGACTAATGGCCAGAATAGAGGTAACATGAACAAGACCTTCCTATGAACCAAAGCTCCTGAAGGACATACTTTAAGGTTGGATGTTTGGAAAGGTCACAGTGGCATGTGGCAAATGGTGCAAGCAAAAACAAGGATCTGGGAATCGCGTATTCACCTCATAGTCCAACTTCTTACCTGGAAGAAAAGAGGATACCAGCCTTCAGGGTCCTGATCTGCAGAGCGCGAAAGTTTTTCCTAGGCTTTGGTTTAGCTCCTGCTGAATGGAAGAATCTTAACTATCTCTTCCAAGAATAGAGTAGGCAGAAGAGGACATATTGGTTGTAACATCGAGACTTGAAGAGGAAGAAGTGGTAGTGGCCAGAGTTCCAATACAAAAACGGTTTTGCATCTTTTAATATGATCACTGCATCAATTGCATCAAAATTCAAGATCCAAAGCTTTGAAATTAAAGGATGTTGAGGGCCTCCTAAAACTGGTAGAAGAGAGTAGGGCTTTTCACTGGTCTGAATCTAGTCCATCCTAGCATTGAGGAGTGCCTGAAAATTAATCCTGTGATGAATGGTCTTCACAAAGTTGGCTGTTCCTTGTCCACCTCAAAACTGGCATTAAGCAGTAGTATCAATAAAAGATCAGAGGAACATGAGCTAATTTAGACTATCATTTTTGCAGATGTGTTTTGGATGCATTCCTGAGGCTCTGAGGGAGGCTTCTAATGCCACTAACATCTTTCCTTTTCACAAGCAGACAGATAAAGATAGCAAGTTATCAGGGTGTGAAGCAATAACACCAAGTGTGTCCTGAAGACTAACTGAACAGTGTAGGCATCACCTTGAAATAACATGAGATAAAATTACTCCCAGTAAGACTAAACCACAAAATATATTAGCAAGGCAAATGCTTCTGCTAATCCCATTCTGAACTGTTTTTACTTTTTCATAGATTTTTTTTTTTTTTCTGAAATATTTCCATCCTGAAATAGACTCCCAGGATGGAAAAAAGTTACCCAAACAGGTAAAAGTCTGCAAAGTCACAAGTAACTGAAAATGAGGACTTAAATATGAGATGGGTCATGTATTCCAATGACTGGGAACCATTGCACTGCCTATGTCTGTTATGAATGAGCATGAAACATTCCTCATTCATTTATGATGAAAATCTGGCTATGGAGAATTGAAATGTCAAGCCCAATAAAATCAGGATTTACTAAACTAAACAAAGTCATTTTCTACTCCTCTCTCCAGAACTGCCTAACAGTTTTCTCACTTTGAGCTTGTCAAGATTTTTCTCAGTGTTTTAAAATCCTTCTTTTGCAGCTTAATACAATACGCATTAATTTCATTTTTAAAAGTCAGGCTATGCCAGTATGTTTTGAGATTAATACTAAGCTAGCTGTACGCCCAGAATATTTAATAATTTTAAAGGTTTCTGAGGTAAGATATAAATAAATAAATTTGCAAAAAATATAATAATACCTCCAGCATTCTACCATTTGACTTCAACTGATTTGCACGAAAAGCCTGAGAATAACATATTGGAGACAAGTTTGAAAACATATTTTGAAATCATCAGTAATTTTTCTATACAAAGAGGTAGCAACATTCATAAGAGAACCATTTAAATGTGCATAAAAACAAATGTTTACTGTCCACTCGTTTACGTAAATTATGTAATTAAAATCACAAATGAAAGCTTACCACAATTTAGCTGGGATCTAATTGTGAGCTTCAGGTGATAATCTTCATTTTTACAGGTCCTCTAAGTGGTGAAAGAAAAACTCATGATCCCTGTATGTACAATCCTGGCACGTTACACTGCAGTTGCATGAAATCAGTGGAGCTATCAACAAACACGATATGGTTTAAATTATAAGTTTTGCTCACACTTCTTTCAAAACATCCAAACAACAAACATCCTCTTTATTATTCTTTTTATAAATCAACAGCTTTATAAACATACAAATAATCCAAATATATTATATTTATGTTGAAATACCATCCCAAGGTTTTATCATTTAGGATTATTTTGAGTTTTCTGCTGAGTGTAAGAAACATTTAGAACTTGTAACACTCTAAATATAAAAACATATTGTTCTGAGTTTCCTATCTCATTCTCTAAACTATCAAATTCAAAATTAGATCCTCAGACTGAAGGGAGGCAAAGTAAACAAAACATGGAATAGAATAGAATATGAAACTAATTTGTAAGGAGTCTAAAATATTTTTGTTTAGACAAGATTCAAAGTTACAAGTCTTTATTTCCTTTGATCAGGGAAACATCCAACTAAATGTTGACTGTCATTCAACATAGCACTTGGATTTTAAGCACAGAAACATATTTCACCAGAGGTAAACAACGTGCAAGGATAAAAGTCATTTTACTGTGCAGATCTCATTAAAATAAACTACTTTGCCTTTATAGCTGGACTCTCTTCCCAGCAACATATATAAGATTGCTAATGAATTGTGAAATACCGGAGAACCCAACCTAGATGCTTTTTTATCATGTTAATGAAATTAAACTAAACTTGAATTAAAATCCAATCTACTGTATACTAATGGTTCAGCCTAGCGGTTCCCCTTGCCTTAATACAATTCTGTGGGCCAACCCTCCTTAGACACATTTTCCATGTAAGCACTTCTGTCTCCATTCATACAAGAGAATGTGCCTTCATTGCTGCTAATTCCAACCATGCTTTGGAAAGATCTGTTTTACAAGTTTATTCTGAATTCAGAACTGACTCATTAATTCAAAACTATCCACCAAAAAATCACACTGGAAGGATAAATCAGCAAGTGAAAACTGTCTACAAAACAGAACCTTACAATTTTCGTAGTTTAGACATCTTGGGCTCAATGTTCTTACTGTTTACATAAATCAGAAGCAACTTCACAGAGTTACTCAAGAGTGCAGCTATTTTGGGCAACAGACAAGAGCCTTTCAATACTCTTTTCTATCACTGGTCTACAGAGTTGGTAACCAAATGACAAGACATCATAACTTCATATTGGAGCTTCAAAAAATAAAAAAGAGGATGTTAAATATGAAAATGAATAATATTAACCACTGGTATATAGCTCATGAATTATGAGGAACACTACTGATGACCACTGTAGTGGAGCTTAGAGGAGGTGTTCAGTAATTATAGCAGCAGATTTCAAGTCATTAGTAACATAGCTAATTTCCAGTTATCTTCCCAAACATTCTGAAAAAAGCCTTAGGAATTCATGATTAATGGTAAAAATCAGATGAGATGATGAACAACTAAGCTACAACTCAGTATATGACAGAGCATTATAAGCAAGTTAGTTGTTCTTAGCAAATAATTGGAAGAGAGCTGTAGCTGTTAGAAAGCCAGTTACAAGAAAAACAGGTATTGTTTTCCAATTGATCACATGGATTTTATGAGGCAGCACAAATCACCTATGTGGATATCAATCCAAACTGAGGGGGCAAACTGTTTGTTTGTCTCACTTATATTCTTTTGGTGCATAAACTGGCTGGACATTTTTTCCAACACGAAACATACATGGACATGAAGTCCTGTATAACAGTGCAGATTTTGCTGCCAGTCACAGAAATTTAATGGAAGAATCACTTTTTCCTCAAATGTTTCATCTCACTTTAGAGATGAGGCCATCACTAACACCATACACACACAAACATTCCTCCAAGCCACCAAATCTGAGAAACATAGAACCACATTTGGTATCAGTTATTACAACAAGAGCTCCAGTGAAGTCCCAGAAGTTACACTGGTTTGAAAGCAGCTTTGGGGAGAGAGTTATAGCGTCCATGAACAAAATTTTAACAAAAAAGATTCATTTTATCTCATTTTCCTGCATCATCTTCAATCCCAGTTTCTTCACCATTGTCCTTGTGGCCCACTATGTAGGCAATTTTCTGGATTCTTTGTGCACGTAAAGACTATTTCTTGCATGAATCTCCATTACAAAATTTTCATCTCTAAGAAACCACCCACTAGTCTTTTTTCTCTCAGTGTCCTTTGAGCTGCCAATTCAATGAAATTTGCAGTGTTGACCCTAAAAGTGATACTTGTAGAGTATCTGTTGCTAATGAATTGCTCACAGTAATTCTTCCAAGTAGAGACAACAGGGAAGGACTGGTAACAACTTCTCTGTTCCATTTTTATTTGTGCCATTGTTGGTTGGTCGGTTTTCTAGTACACAGAAAAAAAAAACAAAAAAAAATGAAGTCTGTTTCAGTGTTTCCTAAGTTTCCATTTTCCAATTGTTTCCTCTTTTTTTCACTCAACTCAGACTTCTTCTAGTCCGGCTGCATCAGCAGGCTGGCTGGGGCAGGCTGGCAGGGCTTGGGGTGGGCTCTCCAGACAGCCTGGGAAAGGCTCTTCTCTTCTACTGTGAGTTCAAGAAATTTGTCTGTGCTGGGAACATCTTCTGGGCAGCCTCGCTCTTTCTTCTCTTCCACCAAAGTCTCTGCCACTTTGTCATAAGCTATAGGCTGTTCCACTGAACAAAATGGATATATGTTACTGATAGCTCTTTAGGACGCTTCACAGCACCTAGGCTAAAATACAGCTAATGGTAGCTCAGCAGAAATTTACAACCAAAAAAAAATTAGAAAAACTGATACAAAAAAGAACAAAAGAAAATACTCAATAACTTGACTGAGATTTTAATAAGTGACGTGCCCTAGGCAAATCTCATATTTTTGTATTCTAACATGTAAGATCAGGAAAAGACATGCCTGTGACAGGAAGGCCACCCCACTCCGAAGTCTAAAGGTCTTAGAATCATTCAGTGATACAGGGAATAACTTTCTTTAATGCCTTAAAAAAAGGCATCAGATTATTTGTCAGTCTCTGAAGTGGTTGAATCACTTTTCTTAATATTTTCAGACACCTGTCATGTGAAATTTCTGTTACAAAAGCTGCATCTGATGAAACTGTAAGTGAGAACAGAGTCTCCTAATGGGAAACATCAGGCTTCCTTCACTGGACAGCATGGTTCTACACATGTTCATGATACTAGTCCAACCAAGTAAATGAGAGGCATATTTTCTCCTGATAAATAAATTGACTTCCTAAAATAGATCTAAGGACAGGATCCACAGTTATGAAGATCTTACAAGATGCTTGCCCATTTCAGTATCCTCAAATATTTGTGTTTGCATATTTCTAAATGGCTGATGCAAACTTGTTTGTCTGGTAACTTCTGTGGACAGGAAGTAAGTATGATACATAAGACAAATACCTAAGGACATCCACCTTCCCCCATCACATGAGCAATTAGGAGATCCAGTTGATTCTACAGTGCAAAGTTTTTTAAACTCAGAGCAATCCAGCTGGTAACCCATGGGTCAAGAAAGCCTGCTATGTGCTCTTGTGCCACCTGTAACTTTTGCATCAGTGATGGGAGGAATATCTCCTTAATTCATCTCATCTTTTTTTTAAGCACCAAGCATTTCTCAGTCAAATATCTTGTTTAATACAGAAAAGCAAAACTGCAGTTGTTGCTCCAGGACGAGAGGTTTCTGGACTCTTCACACCCTGTCAGTTATCTTGCTGGAATGAGTGAGGGCTATCAATGCATATCTTTCCAAGGACATGCATTCCCCATCAATGCGATTTGGATAATTCACTGCTATGAAACAAATCCATGAAATTTTATGTAAACACAAAAATACGATGTGATGTTATTACTATCATGAGAAGCATCTGGCTTCTTATGAGTGTGAAAGAACAGTTACAGTATAATTCCTGACGTATAATCTGCAAAGCAGAGGACCAAGTGATTTCACAACAATGCAAACATCATTTCTGCCCAGTCTGCTTTGAACAAGGCAGTGGCATCATTTGATTTCTCTGTCTCCTGCACCAGTTACTGCTCCTGCCAGCACAAAGGTAAGGAGAGATGTAATAAAGAAGAAAAGCCTACTCACCATATTGCGAAGGACAGGCCGGATGAGGGTCTCCTGTCTCACACTCAATTAGATCAACCGCTTTAGTCTCCAGAGAACTGCTACACTCCTTGACAACTGCAAACTGCAAATACATACAGTACGCACAAAATATAGCACAAATTAATATGAAATGAACCAGTTCTCTGAAACCCAAGAGGCAGACTAGAAAGGCCACACACTCCAACCACAGCAGGGGGAAAAAGGTCATATTGGCTTCTGAGATGACCCTTCCCCTGAAGATAATTAAACATCGGAGTTGATGACAGCCCTGGTCTTTCTTTGAAAAGTGTGAGTCCCAGTCTAGTAAAGAAGGGCCCGCTCCCTTGCTTTGCAAATCGGCCTTTCCAGATGCAAGAACAAAAGTACATGAAAACTGACTCTGTCCACAGTATTTAGGGCCACATTTAAAGTATTAGGGAGGCTTGCAACCAGACAGCAGGAAACCCTGTCAGACACAGGGAAGGAAGCAAGCCTCCCTTTCCCAGCTCTTGGCAACACCTGGGGGTGCAATTCCATTATCCCACAGCGAGTGTGGAAGACAAGTGAGACCGTATCATGAAGATGGGACCCTCTTGTGAAGCATGCTTGTAAAGACCAGAGGGAAAAGAGAAAGAACAGGCACAGGGGGAAGTGATGTGCTTAAACAGTATAGAGGGAAAGAGAGAAGCTCAGCTGAAGAATAGGAAGAGGGAGAAAAGGGGGGGAGGATAGTATTTAAAGAGCAGAACTAGAGAAGTATAGAAAATGTCTGTAAATAAGATGTTCCAAGAAGACTGTTGACAGATTCAGTTGTCTAGGTGGAAAATTGGTGGAGTTGTGTGACTAGGTCATATCTGCAGCTGGTGTGACCATTTAGGCATATTTTTGTGTGCATAAAATCCATGGTCTTAGAGCTGCTAACCCACACAAAACAGACCCCCAGAGGAGCTCCAGCTATACACAGTTTTGCAAAATTCCTTTGACTGTGCAAAACAGAACACTTGCAGGTTTACAAGTTTCAGAATAACATGTGCTGGGCATGTGCTGAAGTTTACCAAGGCTTCCATATTCCAGGGACAGAGTTATCTAGGCTTATGGATCTCTAGTACAAATGTGAAAAGAAAAATACCTAAGGCATACCCTCACTAAAATGTAGCCTTCTCTAGCAAAATAAACAGAGAAATGATTGGGAGAATTGTATGAATAATTTCAATATTACGATATCTACCATCTGGCAAGTGTGACATGTTAAAAACTCATCCAATACTGTAGCTTGAGTGGGCAACACCAGGAACATCTTTGTACTCCATCCCTTCCCCAGAGTCACAAATTATCAGGAGCACTGCTACGAAAGGAGAGAACCTCATCAGTCCTTCATTAGAACTACTCTTTCTGTTATTGTTTTTGGTTTTTTTGAAACATAAATCTGCCCAAAAAAACACCTTAAGTGAACAGCAGAAGTGGACAACTTCCTGCTGCTTTTTGGCAGCTCTTCATTTTCTAACCTGTGTGAGTGCTCGCATAGAGCCCCAATGAACTTAACACTTACGATTACATCACTACAGAGAAAATCACATGCATGAAACCACAGGAATCCACTACTGTGAAAGATGCAATAATTAGCAAGGGGTCAGTGATTTCCCTTTCCAGTCTCCAAGAAGCCATTTACAATGAATTACTTTATTATTAATGCATTTTGTTGTCTCTCAGAAGAATGCGTAGTGAAATTCAACATGAGTGTGTAAAAGATGAATAGATAGGATTTGGTTTAATTTGATTCGGTTTGTTGCTTAGCTGTCTAATTATTCCTATATTCAGCAAAAATGTCACCAACCACTAGCATTAACTGCAAGAATAACAGCAGGCAGGGACAGAACTGATGAGTCTCAGGCCTCCTAGAGCAGGGCTCCCAGGCAACAAGCTGTTCTCAGTCCCAACAAATGTTTCTGATTTTGCCAGCTCCAGATATTTTGCAAACAATGTTTTTTGTCTCTGCTGTGAACAAACGATGGCAGTACAAAGATTCAGCACATTTGTTGTCTGGTGTCTGGAGGAGCACAGTGCTGGCCAGGTCAGCAGCTAGTAACAAAAGGCCCATGAAACTCCCAGGCTGACCAGCTAAGGTCATAACTAGGGTTGGTACTCTTTGGACATGCTCAACAGTGTATTTCAGTGGTTCTCACAAATCCTGCCTGACTCTTAAAATAAACAATATGCGAGGCATTCTTCATGTGGATTAAAAATGCTCAGCTCTGCACTACAGATAGTTTGAGATATTCAGCCCTTCAAACACGCCCTCAAGCAAAACAAACTCATCTCTTTCTGGATTGAAAGACTGGGAGCAGAATCAAAACTTCAGGTTCAGACAAACAAAGTCTAAATTTAAAGCTAAAGTATCCATTATTATTTAAGTAAATGTATAAAGCCAAATTCACCTGTGATCTTGTTCATCTGCACAGTTTTTGTACTTTCCAACTGTGGCTTGATGTGAAAGGCTTTCAATCCTTTCAAGTAATATCTATACCATAAAAAAATGTGTGCAGTTATCCCAGTAAAAAAAGTAAGTGCATCTCTAGAATTTATCTCCAAGCCAGCACAAGCAAACTCTTTCAGTAGTTCTTTCCCTCTATTCTTATTTGAAAAGTATATGCTGCTTAGATAATGTGATGCTGCCTAAACATGACTGCTATCTGCATTACAACAGCTTATACAGTGTTGGATGATGGATATGTGCAGACAAGATCTCAGGGAAAGTCATGCTGTTCTGACAGAGGAGTTTCTGTCTGGGCACAGAAGTAGCCACAGATGCCAATTATGTCCTTCTGGCCCACTCCAAGTTCCAACTGCCACCATCCAGCAGCATAACATTCTTCTAACTCCAGTGAAAATCACGTCCCTCGATCAGATCTCCTGGGTCCAAATTCACTGGTGCAACTTCAAAACTGACAACAGAATCATAGAATTGCTCAGGTTGGAAAAGACCATCAAGTCCAACTGCAATCTAACCCCAACAACCCACTGCTAAATAATGTCCCTGAGCACCACATCCAAATGTTTTTTAAACACATCCAGCGATGGTGAGTCAACCACCTCCCTGGGGAGCCTATTCCAGTGCTTAACAACCGTTTCTTTAAAGAAGTTTTTCCTGATAGCCAACTTCCCCTGGTGCAACTTGAGGCCATTTCCCCTCATCTTGTCAGCTGTCACCAGTGAGAAGAGAAATGGGTCAGTGCAAGCATGGCACTTCTACCTACATGCTGAATGAGTATTTTATATTCCCTCCCAAATTGCCCATTAACATCCTGGGAGGCTATCTTTACAAGGCAGCAGCTCCTAATACTACAACATTTAATTGCATCAGCCCCCAAAATACAGTTCACCATCTCAGGTAGCACACACACAATACTTGTCTTCCAAGAAGTCTTTTATATGGAGGGCATACTTTCCTGAGAAAATAACTCCGATATGCCATGTCATCACATTGCCATTTCCTTAATTTAGAACACAGTTCCCCAACTGTTGTATTCAAAGCTAACAATAACACCCACTAATGGTTGCAATACATCCAGGCAGCTGTGAACTTTGAGGGATAACAATGAGGTAAGATGAACTAGGGTTCACAGCAAAGCACTTGATGACTCTAGCAGTTATTTAATGTATTTAAGATGTGAATTATTTGATGGATAAGCTCAAGTGGATCCCTAACACTCTTTGATCCTTCCTACTTTCGCCTTCACTCCATATTAATATAGTTACCCGAGACTTGTTGCAAGTAGGTGTCACGTTCTCATTGTCAGTGCAGCTACTGGCATCTCTTATCGCTTCTGCATTACGGTTCTTCTTATAAAAGTTTTGACTTCTGCAACAGAACAAAAGCTGAAACAAATTATTTCACTTTGGGAGGAACAGATGCTTCTTCCTTTCGCACTTTACTCTGTAGGTATTTACAGAAGAGACAAATTTTGTTCTCTTTCATTCCTCTGAAAAGGAGTATTAGTGTTAACTACAGCAAAGAGGTTAGAACAAACAGCTTAATAGAAATAAAAGTAAGAACTGAATGAATACTTATTCTAATGTACCATCTGTGAAGGCCCATTCGTTAGAAAAAAAAGTAGACTTTAAAATTTTAACCAGCCCTTTCATTTTCTTATATTTTTCTATAAGTAAAATCTTGAGTTGAGAAAAGGTTACAAATAGCTCCAAATGGCTAGCTCCATGCATTCAAAAACTTTTATTTTTGCAGTTCAACACTGACCGTTTGTAAGGCAGGATTAAAAGCCAGTATAGACTCCAAAGCAGAAGACATGGTCAGAAGAAAAAGAGCTCATTTACACTACTTGAGATTCAAATCAGCACATCCTTACTGACCTAACATACTCAATTTTTCTTCTCAACATCAGATTAAAAGTCATGTTTTTGACTTCCAGAAGTTTCAAGGTATTTTACCTTCCTGGCACCACAGCAAGTTTGCTGTGTGTGTTTTAAACCTCACTAAGATGTATCTGCTCAGCACTGCACATCATCATTATGCTAACAGAAGTGGAGCCCCTTGCTCTGTGGGTAAAACAGAGCAGAGCACATAGGCACAGCTCAGAGGAGGATGCCCTACTCAAGAGCATCGCTCTAATGATGTGGCTCACTTTGTAGTTTGCAGAATGACAGATGCCAGACGGACTCGGTAGGCACAGCAATTTCAGTGAGCAGGAGGTGGAATCAAGTTGACTGAGCATGGGCAACTGGCCAAGGATTTCTCAATCCTAATCCCAGGCCTTCTGCCAATCTTTGCGTGACCTCTGCCAAGCTGTGGGTGTTAAATCTGTGATTCTTAGTTGGAAGAGAGATTGTTTCCCTGCTTCCCAAAGAAGACAGGAAACCTGAAATCCTATACATCCAGACTACCTAAACCATAAGCGAAGAGCAACACCTACAGCAGGCTACAGCCACTGAACAAACCAACACAATACTTCAGCACTCTCTGCCTCCAGTTTGTACACTTATCAAACTGGAAATTGTTTCCTCCAATTACAGAGAGAACTCTGAGTCATACTGGAGAAGGAATAGGACTGCTGTAGACTTAATCGGTACATTTCAAAATACTGTAGATTGTAGGAAAAGCAGCATAGTGATTTCAAGACAAATATTGGTTTCCAGACTCCAGTTAAACAGGGATTTCAGATCAGCGGTTTCATTTTGATCTAGTTAGGCTAGTAATAGCTGCAGTACAAATGCAGTCAAGCATGTAATTGAAAACTTGTTGTTGAGATAAATAGTTATATTGATCAAAAGCGTTTGGCAAGAAAGAAAAGTAAATCAGGGAGAAATGACAAGAGAGAGAGAGGAAGAGAAGAGATATTCATTATCTTTATACCTTAAAACTGGCCATATTGTAGCTATTTTCCATGACAGTTTGAAAGATGTGTATGGGAAATACAGGAATCTAATGATTTGTCTATTCTGCATGTATCATTCCACTGATTAGCTTCTGAATCCCAGGTCATGAGAACAAATCAGCCTGCACTTAGCTTTAAATCTGGAGCTCTATCATCAGCTACATCACACAGAAATGTGACAGCTTATCTACTTTTATGGACTAAATATGCTGAGAACCATTAAATAGGAGCAGAAAATATTAGCTTTCATAGCTAGCTTCTCTTGCAGCTTAACTTTTTATGCCTAGAAGGTTCTAATTTTAAAATTAGTCTAAACCACAAAAGAAAAAAAAACACAAACCCTGCATTAGAAAGGCGGGTAGGCATGCAGCGGGGGTCTGCTGATTTGGCTGCTGTCTGGCTTCTTATTTATTTACTCTGTTACTTGTTAAATAAAAAATGTACATTTAAACAAGAGCCTCTGAGAACAGTTTTCTGACAAGGTCATGGCCAAAAGACAAACTTATTAAATGCTGAATACTTTCCAGTCTAAGGGACACCAGTGACATTTATTTCACAACAGAGAAGGTTTTTAAATAGTGACCATAGGGATTCTCTTTGCCACAAGAAGAATCCCAAACCTGCACAATTCATTACAGCCATGGAAAATGCCAGGGAGTACTTTTACAGCAGATGTGCCTTAGACCCACATCTACTACCAGGAAAACTGCTTTCACATTCAGTGCTGCAGGTATCACTGTAGAAATAGGCTACTGGAAGGGTAACACAGCGCTTTTTTCACTGGCAAGGAAATATTAAGGTACAGTCCTACACTGAAAGGGAAGTAAACTGATACCGTTAGCAGAGAAGAGCAAAGTCCTACCATGGCACTGCAGACATCTACAGCTCGTAAGGGAAACTAAGGAAGATGTAAATACAGTGCTCTGAAACTCTCTCATCAATACAAATTATGTCTCCTCCTCAAACCTAAACAGGTTTATTCTTTCTCTCCCAGACACACGCCATTCTTGAACATTAACGTGAGTACTGCAGTGAAGGGGCATGCCAGAATTGTATGAATTATTTATACAACCAATTACTGAAATGCAAGAGAGGAGCGAGGACATTATGGGATTTCCAACAGCTGAGGAACAGCACAGATTCTTCTCCACAAGCCACCTGTGAAGGCCACAAGCACCTCACCCCCTCTTCGGTGCGCTCACAACATGAGTTTGGGAGCAGTACCTGGAGCAGTAGGTGGCCAGTGACCCCAGTAGCAGTAGCAGCACCACTATGCACACGGCGATGGTGATGTTCCGCACCTTCACCCGCTCGGCTTGCTGCTGCTCCCACCACTCCAGGTCGCTGAACTGGCACCGCTCCCCAACGTAGCCTGTCACACAGCTGCCAAAAGGAAGCAAGAGCACTTTGTGAGTGACAGCGAAGAAAACAACCCAAATTACCGCCTCAGTCACCTTGCGTATTGATTTATTATTGGCAACCCTTATGGAAATATCTTGTTGAATTTAGCAGGGGTAAAGACAAGATGACATTAAAGGAAGGTCTGCCAAAACACATAGAACTCAATATTAAACGTACATCTATTAATGTTAATGTAACGTTAATGTACATCTAGCACTTCTCTCGATAGAGAGAAGCACTCTATCGAATTATTCAGTCAGATTATATGTCTCAGATTCCAGAGGGTAACATATTTTCAAAAATTCCAGACTGCTTTTTTATGATCTATGCTTCCCTTGGATTTTCTGTTAAACCCTTTTCAGAAGCAAGGTTCCCTTTTTTTTTTTGAACTTGGCATCATAGAAGTTGTTATCTCTTGGAGAGTCATTTTGTTGAGGAAATCAATTTTTAATCTGAAAAATTGCTAACAGAAACAAAGGTGTGTGAAAAAGATATATGGGTTAGAAATGTCTTGATAATTTTTAGTTTTATTACAAGCTTCTTCTGCAGGCTCTTTTAGTTTACTACGTTGAAGATTTTACCACTGTAAAAGCCCAACAATGAAATAGCTTATCGAGGAATGGAATGTATATATCAAAACGAATAGAAAGTGAAGAAACACGTCAAAATATTAATGTAATTAATTAACGAATATACTCGGTTATTTGCGAAAATTCTGCTACATAACGTTTTTCCATGACTTCCTTCAGCTATTTGACAGCCTACATGAATGAATGCTGCCATCTAGTGACCACTGTGTAGAATCAGCTCAATGCAACTCCGCAGAACAGAGCTAAGTAGGGCTAGTCCACAATTTGTTTAACGTCTTCCAATTCCGGTATCAAAGAATATGGAATTGTGGGTTCTTACATGCTAACAGTTAAAAAAAAAAAAATTGAGATAAGTTCCCATTTAAATGTTCTGCAGTTGTAGACTCTTCAGTTTCAGCATGCGGAACTGAATGAGGAGAAAAAATAGAGCTTTGAATGTCTGTGGTTTATTCTAAAAAATTGTAGCAAACACCACAGATAAGCATAAGTCATACCAACTCCTATAACAGCCGTGGTGACCTCAGCAGACCCACAGCACAAAGCATCTACTTCATTCCCATACATACACGTAGAGAGATACATTCCCCGGTTATTCCTGAGAGTACAGAGGTCAAGTGGCAGTGGAAAATGAACAGCAAGGCCAACAAGCAGGTGCAAACCTACACCAGAGAGCGAGCAAGCACTGCCTTCACATAAGGCTGCGAGCACCAAGTCATTTAACAATTAATCTCACACTTCAAGAACAAAGAATTTAGTCTTCAGAGAACAAATCCAATCCTATTATTAATTGCAATGGGTATGAACAAAGTGAGTATTTACTGAAAAGACCAGAATCTAAAGATAATTGCCAGCACAGGTGATGGATGATCTATGGGCAAGCACTTCATAATCTGCACTCAACTATGTCCCAAAGATACCATTAATCAACACAGACGATATACAGCTCTGTACTTACTTGCAGGCATAGTCTTGTAGGTCGGAAACATAATTGCACACTCCCCCATGGAGGCAGTATGAATCATAGGAGGGGGGGCATCCTACAGAGTCACCTGGCACAGGGTGTGTAGAGTATTCATTGCTGACAACAGTAGGAGACAAAGTAGATTCTGAAAGGCAGGATTTCACAAAGACATAACAAGCTGTTGGCTACGTTAGCATGAAAGAATTCCAGAACTTCAAGATAGGATAGTAGGTAATTACAACCAATTACAACCAAATACTTGTTTTTCATGTTTGCTTATTTTGCATATCAAATTTAGGCATACAGAGATTAGCTGTGTTTTGAGATGTGTGAATATAATTCTGGTAAAACTGCCTAATTATTCACGATTAAATGATTTCTTACCCAGCTTGAGGGTACAGACAATCTTCACTATGCAGAGTCAGACATACAGGTGAAAGGTGACTGCACTCTGTGCATATGAATGTCAACTTGAAAAGTTTTCATAGGCAAATGAACATTTTTGCACAAACAATTTCTACTTTGCAGCTACCCACTTGACAGCATCTGTGCAAGCTATCTCAAGTATAGTTAACAGCTTCATTGGAAGCACAGAACTCCTCTGACCCAATTCTTCAAAGATTTCTGTAGCTTGCTCATAACTGCACAGACTATCACCTCCATAAGTACCCAACTGGCTATCAGAGGGCTCTGATATCTCTGTGTGTGATCTATATTGCAGAGGTGCTTTAATAGAACAGGAACAAATTTTTGCCTACTTCAGTGCTACACTGAATCTGTAAATCAGAACCGAACATCTACACAGCAGCGTGGCTTAGCAGCAATATACCTAATCCCACACATTTATGGGATCAATTTTATGACTCACACCACTTTTATTGCAATATGACCTTTAATGACATTTGTTTTCTTAAAATTTCATTTGCAGGAGAACTGTCAGGGCAAAGAGCCCAGACTGGAAAGGAATAAGTGATAGCAGTGAATCCCATATGTTCTGCATTCTGCAAAGAAAATTTCAGCCTGCTAAAAGAGCTTACTAGGCAAAGACTTAAAACAGCGTGTTAACACACATGAAGACAGGAGATCATATTTACAGCTGAGGGACCTATAAGGCATTACTTCCAAGTCATACATCATTTAAAATCATCATTTCCTGAGTGACACTTGAAACTACTGAAAGCTTAAATGGCTGAAAAAGGGGTGAGGATCCTGATTGATGTTCTACTTTAAAAAGCCGTAACTTCCTTCTGTTTTTCTGCAGAAAAATATCTATGACAATCTCACAGTGCCCTTCTGTTACCAAATTGTCACTTGATCTGTGGCAAAATTCACTCTGATGAAGATGGCTGACACGGAGGAAGGCAATGTGTCACTTTGCTCCACGTTTTCAGAAAATGCAGCTGTCACACCGAGGAACTGAAATGAGCATCAGATACTATGAACTGCTCTTTTCATCATTCTGATAACCAGATTTTCCAAAATGTTTCAAAGCCCTTTGAAAAATTAGGATCTGAAAAACTAACATTCTGAAGAATGAAATGGGACTTCAATTATGAGCATTTCTTGTGCTGGAGTCTTACAAAGATAAAGAATGCACAGTTTGAAGAACAGCACAGCCCAAAATCAACTCCAAAAACATAATCTCTGAGGAGCATTTACTTCGACTCTTGATTTCAAAGGCCTTTAGATAGATGTGTCATTTCATTTAGGCAGTATAATTTCACATCAAATATTAATGAAGATATTTCCAAGCTAAACTCAGATCCACTCTCCTAAAGCAATGCTAATGGTTTCACAAGCTGCCCAGTATGCCACTACATGGTCATTCCTTAATTTCCCAGTACAACAATTTGGCTGAGACCACAGATCCTAGCTATGGGCCGTTTCGTTTTAATTCTCACTCCAAATACTCACCACAACCCATGGCAGTTCCAGAAGCATCATCAGAACAGGAGCAAGTGAAGTTTCCTTCTGTATTTATGCAGGTTCTGTTCTCTCCACAGGTGTGGGTCCCCATCTTGCACTCATCAATATCTATCAGCCAAACAGTCTGCAGTTAGAAGAATGAAATGCCTCAGAGCATCAGTTAAAGGGGCAGCAGCAGCACCACAGTCTCCTGGCAGTGGAAAAAAATGCCAGGGGCCTTCCCTCCATGCACTTTCCTTGGTAGATATTGGAGCAGAAGAGCAACCAGCTCTGTTGCAGTATATTCATATTCCAAGAAACATGATGAAATACAAGATGAGTTCACCTTGTACCATCTCTGAATGTATTTATAGGTTTCTAGACAATGTGCATACAACTAGGCATCTAAAACTGAAGTACAAAATTACTTAGCCATCAGTTTCCGGTTTTTACAGTACATTTCAACTCATTAAATGTAAGTCGTTTCAGTCTTATTCACATCAAGACAGAATCTTAACATTTATAAAATGTTACGGAAATGTATCTGGCCACATCGTGAAGATAACTTGAAGATAACTGACTATTTTTAATAACAGTGATATATACCACAGTGATTCTAGCTGAGCACCTAAGTCACAGATAGCGAATACCCACAGCTGCATGCAGATGTGCCTGGTAGGTGGTGAAGAACAGCCAGAGGAGGTTGTCACATCTGTCCGCACTTCCAAACATTGCCAAAAACATGTTTCTGACTTTTGGGACAGAAAGATTTCTCCAACCTCCTGTCTCCAACACTCTCTACACCCTGCTGATAATAATATCCTAATTTTTCAATGGCCCTTATCTGTGTTGGAGAACCATGTAAGATTTGGGTCAAAATTAATGGGCTTTGAATTAGGCTATAAAGGAGAAAGGAAGAAGAAAAGGACAGAAGAGAAACTAAGACTTTCACAAAGCTATGAGAGTACTATTGTACTAGTACAGATAGTACTAAACTGTACTATTCAAATACTGAAGGGGAGAAACAGTTTCCTGTTCCTTCATATTTGATGTAAAATTTAAAAAATTAAGAAACGTAGGTAATGAACTGAAGACCTGGCATTAGAGATGGATGAGAGAATCAGTGAGTCTGATTATTAACAAGACTCTAAACGTATTCAGATTCTAAGTGTCAACACCTTGAACTTCATGCCTATCAAGCCAACTATTAATTATTTGATGAGTATTATGACACACTCAATACCTGCTTTCGTTTGTATTCATGACAATGATTTCCAATAAAGCTCTACTTGTTCTCTTCCATTTTTTTCCTCCACTTCACTCATCCTTTCTCTCCTGCTGTAGCTACTAAAGAGAGTGCAAACAGAGAGGAACTGAACTATACACTGAAAACTACAGGCTTTGCATAATGATCAGCTGTTGAGGCTGCCACAATTCAGACAGGAAGGAAAGAATCATAAAGCAAGAAATGATTAACGTCAACTGTCTGGGGGAGCCACTGCTAGGATCCACACCCTTATCAGATTCTTCAAAAAGAACCAGAACCAATCAACATGGACACAAGACAGCTCCACAGCTTGATGCAGAGCTAGCCCAAATTACTACAAGTGTCTCTTGCTCATTCCTCCTGCTCCAATCTCCAGAAGCAGCACAGTCCTTGTGCACTCCATACCTTCACAATGGAGCCCGTCTCCCGTGTAGCCCTCCAGGCATTTACAGACATAGCCCCCTTCAGTGTTGATACAGCCCGACAGGTTTCGATTACAGTGATCCATATTTGCAGCACACTCATCAACATCTGTGAGGTGAAACAGGGAGAAGGGACATGTGGGTCATGAAACCACCTCTCAGATGATGCTGTTACCTGTCATTTGTACACATGAAGTAAAGAGAGGGACTTTGTGTTCTTTCTTTGGTATGAAATTTTCCAAGCATGCTCTAAAGAGCCTGAAAAATCAAACAGCTGCTTTCAGCTGCAGACCCAGATGTTCCACAAAAGAACATTTGCTTCAAAAATAATTCTACTTGGATGGAATTATCCCATTCAAAATCAGTCTTACATCCTTACCGTCTTAACCTCTACTCAGAGACAAATTTTGTGCTGAAGGAGAAAGAGTATAAAAAATTTGTACAGGTCACTGAAAATAGAATTTACACCCAAACCACCTCCCTTTTTCCTTTTTTTTTCCTTTCCCCTTTCTGTATAAACATAGACTCCTGTGAGTCTCGATGTTTGAACAAAAAGGGGTAACTTGTCCTGTTTCTGATCCCTTTTGGAATGCAAGTCCAAAAATTTATTTTGAAGAGAGTGATCTTTGATCAGCAAATTGTCTGATTATTAGCCTCTCTCTAGAGCTAGACAAAAACAGAAACAGCCCTTTCACATAAATACTGTATCAGGAATACTAACTTTTAAGAGATTTCTTACCATGTACTTCTAAATTATACATCAACTCTCATGTCTATGCACTGAGTTTTTATAATCAGACAATTTTTACAAATAAATATTCTAGGCTTTTATTCCTATTATCTCCATTATTGGTCGTTAATATTAATAGGATTAATGCTCATGTTCAGGGGAAAATAAGCTGTGTGATAATCAGCTATTTCATCTCACATGCTCTCTGCTCATCAGCCATTTCAAAACAAGTGATCTCATTGACCTTTTTGTAATGGTTCATACAGCAGAGCTGCCAATGGGAGAAAAAATTGTTTTTCTTCCTTTACACACATCTACGTTTTTCCCGAAGGTTGTGTTTTCATTACCATAGCATGATTTGCCCTTCCTGGTAAATCCTTTCAAACACTGGCACACAGCACCATCTTCCAGCAAAACACACTGTGCATTGGCATCACATTCTAGTGCAGCGCAGTCATCTTCATCTGTAGCACAAAATATATATATATTTGTATGGATCAAAGAAGGAATTATAGTAGAATAAAATCAATTAGAAAAACAAAGCATAGGGTCCTAGTTTGAAGCACAGTGATTGCCACTGAACTTTATTTAGGCCTGGATAATACTATCAAGTTTTGTTGACATATCTAAGCACCACAAAGACAAATAAGAAAGCAGTTTTACATCGCATAATTGCATAGACCAGTCTTCTTGTAAGAGCATTAAGAACATCATCAGTCTTGGCTTGAGTCTTTCTTCCTTTAGGAAATTATTTCTTATTGAAGGATGACTAATTATCAGACTCTACCTGATATCATGATTTCAGCCATCAAAAAAACTTCAATTTTCTTCTTTTCTCCATTTTCTGTACCCTTAAATATTGCATTGCTCCATGTGCTCTGGAGGGGGTTCTTTAGTGTTGGCACTGGACCTACCTCCTTCTGCATAGAGATAGTTTCTGAAAAGAAAAGAAAAAAGTGACACAGATTATTTACATTTACTGAACTTTCTGATTTTCTATCACTGTTCTACTTTCCAGTCATCACAGTGCTTGTTCGTTTGTTTTTTAAATAAAAATCATTTCCTACACAGGCTAGCCTGTTTCTGGATTCAAATTATTACTGAAACCACTTATTAGTGTTTTTTTCAAATACAAAAAACAAGGAATGCAACTACGTCAGCACTACAGACATCTCTCTCACAGATAATATCAAAGGAAATTTGCAGTGGTCATACTACACCTTATTGTCCTAGGACAACATCCCAGTGCTTCTTAAAGGAAATTTGCTCTATTTGTTTCTTGCAAACAGAACAAAGCATTCATGAAAAAGTATCTTAGATGCATTAGTCCCTCAGAAGGAGTTGCATGTTCAGATAGGAGACAACAGATCTGTGGAGAGCAGGGGCAGAGCTGCCAACTGTGAACCCAGGGGGTCTCAGTTCAAAACAGAGTACAAGCATAGGGCTGGAAAGCAGAGTTCTCTCAACAGTAAAGAAGTTTCTACTCTCATGTAAGCTTTGGTACTGTGTAAATGTTCTAATCTTTCTGCAGTATCTATATTCAAGCTGTTCACCTGAGCCATATCATTTCAATTGGCTGCCAGTTTTACTAGCGGACCTTGTGAAGTTTCTTGACAGTTCTAATCACAACATTCTAATCAAAGATATGGAAGTACCATAAATCCATGCATGAAAAATTACAAAATTTGAATAATTCAGCCTCCTTGGAACGAAAAGAAAAAGAGAGAGAGAAAAGGTGAGATGCAGCATGAAACTATATTACATAACGGTGGAAAATGTGCATTATTTTCATTCTTCAGAGAAGCTGTCATTCATTGTGTAATGGAAGGTGAACGTTTTTCAATTTTGTTTGCCAGATTCTTTAAGGGGGTCTTTTTTTTTTAATTAGAGGATTGTACCTGCTGTCACATTAGAAGCATTCAGAGGCTGACAGGTTTTTCCATCTTGAGTTTTCCCAAATCCTGGGTGGCATGTACAATGGGTAACTCCAAAATTGTTTTCACAGATCTGATCACAGCCTCCATTCATATGAAGACAAGGATTTGTCCCTAATGAAGAAAATTAGGCAACTTAACAAGCTGTTTCTTCAGTCAACATCTCCTCTTAGCCATGCAGAGTTAGAGCAGTGGAAAACACAGTAAGGAAAGAAAAGCTAGTAGGTTTCTAATGGGTGTTGTTTGGATTTTTTTTTTTTTTTTTTTTTTAGGTAAAAACAGATGTATATATTAAAGCATAAATATCATCACCTAGCCACTGGCAGGAAAGCAGATTTGCATACTCTCTTCTTAACAAATGTGTGACCTTTTATTATTGTATTATTATTTCCTTATTATCTCTTCTTTAATTTTTAGAGTTCTAACATCATCCGAGAGAACATTACAAGGGCATGAGGAACTTGTGATTATCTTCTCTCAGTCATGGTATACTGAATTACATGATATTTTTTTCTGCTTACAGAGAGATTGTTCTTAACAGAAAATCAAATTATTTGATCAAAAACTAATATAAATTACAAAACCTTTCTCCATGTTATATTTCATTACTTATTGTGAAAGGGGCACTAGTAAACTAAGATAAATAGAAATTACAAGTCTGCGATAGCTTTGTGGCAGTTGATGAGCATATATTCTTGGGCATGATCATAAACATAAAAAATTCTTTAGTATTCCTGGACGCATGCCCAGATGATGCTTTCAATGAATGCCAGTTGAACTGCGAGAGGCCTGTTTCTGAGAAGATAATCCTCTCCCCAAGGACATGAGAACATCTATTATATCGACATCAGTGAACATCAAGAGGAGGCTGGAAGGGAATGACTGCTCAATTTTTGCAGTATACCTGGTTTCGCCAAAGGATGAACTACAACCATTGATGAGGGTCTCAGCATGCTGCCTCGAAGACGTACCCTGTTTTGCCCGGTCTTCTTGTCGACCCTCATTAGTGATGGCCTAGCCCAGTCTGAAAACCAAAGGTGATCCTCAAACACCGCTACAGCAAAGGGGTGACCTAGAAAGAAACAAGATTCCTCATTTCCACATCTGTAGAATATACACAAGAAACCAAGTATATGAGATCAGTATCTGCATAATAGTCTACTTCTTCATAATGACTTCTCCACTTCGATGTTCTCATGAGGAGCACCAAGTATCCATGAATGATGGACCACAGGCACCTGCTACTCATATTCCCAGCAGAATAACAGCAGGTAAGAGAAATCCCAACTCAGCTCAGTACATAAATTTTCCCTTGGTAGCACAACACTATCTGCACCAGAATACTTCAGATCCCTGTTCGATATCCCAAGAGGAACTCAGCAATTCAGAGTCCTAAGTACACTTTCACATGTAAGGGTAGACATAAAGATCTTTGTAAAACTATTCTGTTTTCAGTTTCTCTGTTGTGGTAAAAAACTGCCATTAGTCTTTCTATTCATTTAGAAATCTCCTGATTTCAGTATAGCCCATGAACAATTTTTTTGCAATAGAAGGTAAGAACACATCTTGATATTTCATGGATGTCTAACTGGTCTCAGAGAGGTGTTCTTCCTTTCTGAATCAGATTTGTTTCCTCCTGGTCCTCACCCGCATTCTGAATTCTGTCTGAGCCTCACTGAGAGGTGTATATTTTAGACACAAGATATTATGCTCTGTGTTATTATTTTTGGATGTAAGTCTCAACTAGATGATGTTTAGCTTCAATAATGAATGTGAAATCCCTACAAGTAATAGTTTTAGCAAAAATCAGAACCAAAGAAAACAAGTAAGTTAGATAAATTAGATCCTTGCAGAAGTAGTATTGTTAATATATCTTAAATACATACCCCAACTAAACTGGAAAAAAAACTACGTAAGAAAATTTCTAAGATATTTCATAATTGTTTTTAGGTGTTAAAGAGTATATTTTTATTCTCCTAGCACTTCACCACCCCCACTGAGCTGTAGAAATCACTGGACGTTGTTCTTAGCTCTTCTTTCCATGAAATTTGAGCAACTAGCACAAAATTTATATGTTGTTTACATTTCAACATTTATTCACATTTTAAAGATATATAGCCTCCACCATCAACAAACAACACCCCCTTTGACCAGAAATTTCTTAATCTCTTCATTTGCAAAGATATTATGGATAAAAAATAGAGACACAATATCATTAACAGAGATATACCAGGAAGAGGAAAGTTAACAGTTACATGTAAGCAGAAGCCTTTCCAAAACTCAAACCACTTTATAAAGAAAATGTATGGTCATGGTATTTACTACCTTGGGCAAGTGCTTACAAGCTGTTTTACTTAAAGCTGAAAATGGGGCTAGGAGAAGAGCAGAACTAATCTTACCTATTTCACATGCAACTAGACTAAATGAATTCTCAATCCAGGGGCACTAGAGGGAGCTGCTGTAATAAAAATTCCTACTGCAGCACTAGTATTACAGAATCAGGTTCAAATGAGTTGGAAGGGACCCTAAACAGTCACCTAGTCCAACTCCCCTGCAATGAACAGGGACACCTGCAGCTCCATCTGGTGCTCAGAGCCCCTCTAGCCTGACCTAGGGATGTCTCCAGGGATGGGGCACAACCACCTCTTTGGGCAACCTGTGCCACTGCCTCACTACACTTACTGTAAAAAACTTCTTTCTGATATCCAGCCAAAAGACACATTGCCCTGTTCCTTGCAGAAAAAGAAAGTGAGACATTCAATAGAATTTAAGGCCTTTCTTCTCAAGTCAGCTGCAAGGAGAATATACAGCAGGGCAAGAGATGTTGGCAAGGTCACTGCTCAGGGTTTCTAATATCCTACAGACTGCAGAACAATGCTTCCTCCTAGATCTCACCCTGCTCACCTCCAAACAAGTTGGAGAGCAGGTGGGTTGGGAATGAACACAAGTCTTCACAGAGCAGAGCCCAGAAGAGCAGCAGTTTAACACACCAATCATGCTGCTGAACCAAGAGTCCTCATTCTGCCCGTGTTTTGTATGTAAACCTACAAAAAAAATCTGGTCTCCAGAGAGTTGTCAAGCATAAAAGGGACTAGTCCTCTCCAGAAATTAATTTGCCATGTATGAGATTTTCAAACACATGGTTTACTTTAAATGTGGTACAACATCAGTTCCTCATTGCTAATACTTTTTTTTCTTGCTCCAGAAAAAAATCAATTACATGTCAAACAATAGCAATCTCAGCAATAACAGCTACAAGCATACAGCACAAATCATTCTTCCATTCAATCTCTATTGTGTGTTTAGAATTCTTCCAGTGTTCAACACTGCAGATGCAGGTTCTTTGCTCAAGGACCTTAATGGCCAAGATTGTCTTCTGGCTTATGACAATATTAACTCTCTGGGGCAATAAATACAGCAAGACTTGATTTAAACTAAGCAGCCATGCCTGGAACAAGTAAAACACAGTCAACTTTTCCCTTTTTTTCATTTTTGTGGGGAAGGCAGAAAAGGTCTCTATATAATGCAAAATGGCTGATGTGGAAAAGCAGAGATTGTCAGAAAGGTTTTTTTTTTGTTAAAACAGATCAATAAATGTCAATTGGTTGACAGATCAGAGAATTAAGTAATGCCATCAACTTCAATACAGAGTTGCAAGGGATACACAGCACAGCCAGCAACCAACAGCTCCCATACATAATCACATATGCACATGTACATGCATGCTGACAAGAAGCAATAGGTAATTATCAATCCCAAAGCCTCACCTACATCATTCTGTGCAAGAATTCGACGACCCGAACCATCCAGATTTGCACTTTCAACCACTGACTGCTTAGCATCGCACCAGTACAGCTTGTTGGCTAAGTAGTCAAGAGCTATTCCACTGGGATGCACGAGACCTATGCTGGCTATAACCCGACGATCTACGCCTTCTAACGAAGAGCTGGCAATCTGGGGGTGGATGCCCATTTCAGTCCAGAATAATCTCCTTTAGAAAACAAAACACAAACAGGGAGTCAGTGAGGAAGTGATGGTTATTCAGTCTGTGGAGTTCTTTCAAGAAGAAGGAGGAAAGGTGCTTGCTTCAAACAAATATATTGGCTGCTGATCTTTTATAACTTGACATAAGATTCCAGCTGATTACACTAGAACTTATGCAGAATCCCTGCTATGTTTGTCAGCACAAAACGTTCCAAAACAGCTCCTATCCAGCCTAGTCCTCCAATCTGCTTTTTGCACTTTCCACAAGTGCTGATAGCGGCATAGCAAAGTCAGGCAATACAAGACTTGACGCATTACCCAGCTGGTTGGCTAAACAATGGTGTAACAATGCACTCATGCAAAGTTACCCACCACCCATGGAAAGCAAGCAAGAGCCCACAAATTGTCTTAAAAAAACAAACCAGTGACAGATCTTGCCTCATCTTATAATAACTTTGTGATTCTCAGGGTCTCCCTCAGGAGTCCTGAGTGTTACACAGTGAATGCTGACTTTTTTTCAAGGGACAGTGCAAGACAGCTCAAAACAGAGACTGCTAAAACCAGAAATTACTTTCAAAGTTTGGACTCAGCCCAAGGCATTAGCTATCTTTTTCAGGTTTACAGAGTTACCCCTGAATTCACTCAGCTTTATTTACACAAGTAGTTTTGCTGTAGCCAATGCAGGGATCAGTGTTCTTGACAGTCTTTCTTCTATCTCAGATTCCTCTTCAGCATTGGCTTTACAATTATGGACATTGTCACTCCTCTCACCACTAACAGAGCAAAGTTTAATGATGTTTCCTTCTCCTCTTCCCCTGGTAGCTATTGCTCCAAGCTGTGCAAGCTTTATGCCTCTACTGATACTTCAGATAAGCAATCTCCCTGAACTGACCTGCTTTGTGCAAAATGCCACTACCTTCTTCCATCTCTATGGAAAGATTTCCTCAGGTCTATGCCCACAGTAAAGCTAACAAAACAACGCCCTCCCTGATTTGGTTTCATGCATCAGTACTTAAAAACAGCAGGATATTAGCACAAAGAAACTCAGCAGGATTCTGAATCCCTTTAAAACCACCTTACTACAGGTATACGGGTTGAAATCCATGGGACTTCACCAATGATTAAAATTGTCAGAATTTCATCAATAGTCCTAAAATTTCAGGTTTCTGTGATCATCTCTGCACTAAGAAGATATAAGGTGTACTTAAATCAACACACCTCCACAGCAGTAGATTTCAGAAGAAACTGAATCATGGCCATAAAAAAATCCTTTGTAAGCAACATATGTTAAAAGTGTCTACACCTTCTTCACAGCAATACATATGGAAAAACAAAGCAATTATCAGTTAGGATGATTTTAGTAGCATGTACCTTTCTGTACTTTCAACCACATACAATATCTTTATTGGTTATAATTTCTTTAATCTAAATGAGGAATTAACATGCTCCAACTCGCAACAAAAATCCAGCAATAAATCACTGCAGCTCACATCACTCTCTAGGCAATTACTGTCCTAATGTAAGGCTTAATGTAGATTTTGTCTGCCAAAAGGGCAAGGCTGGCATGCTCATTTTTTAAAAGCCTCACTAACTGCTACACAATTAACATGTTTATCACTCCTTACCTCACAAATGGGTGAATGGCAATCCCTCGGGGCTGAGAGATATCCTCCCAGATGATCATTTTTCTTTGCATTCCATTCAAATTACTCCTTTCAATGCATGCCTTCCTGCAACACATAAGACACTGTTAGGTCCTCCCTGCTATCTTTCTAATTGCCTTTTCAGGCAGAATGTATTAAGTTTTTTCATTGCTTTAATTTAGCACAAACTGTAAGAAATCACTTTGCAAAGACATAAGTAATCCTGCTGCTATGGGGTGTCCAGTTCTTTTATCTATAAGTAATTCGCGTTACAGCTTCATTATCTGGTCCAGGACATGATGATAAAATAGCTGCTGCTGTGTAGATGACTTGAAGTTCTCCTTTTTTGGGAAAATGATGAGTTGGAATTATGATTGCTAACAGATTAATCTTAACTTTAAAAGGAGTCAGGAGAAAAAACAACTCCTAATTGAATGACACTATCAAATGTGTAAAGAATTTTTTAAAATAGCACATTTTGTAGCATTTTCCATCCATAAACTGCAGTCTAGATCTAGAGCAGTGAAGTATACAACTGTAGAAGCTCATTGCTAGAAACTGCATCTTGCTGAACAAATGTCAGCCACTACATGAAAGCAAGCCTATCGCTTTCCATGCCTTCCTCAATCCATAAAGAAATATCACACAAGGATGGAAGGAGAAACGCTAGGGTTGGTCTGAAAGTAATGTCTCCTATTTTATTATGTTGGCCCACGATATCAGAGGAGGATGTTGGCAAAATGGCAGTAAAGGGTTGAATGTTCCCACTGATATCCCATTCCATGTTGTTGCCATGTGACAGATGGCCGTAGAGGGGCAGTCGGACAAAATGGCATCTAACATGGAAATGTGTATGAAGCAAAACTGCGTCACAGAAGAAGAGGACAACCTTTCTCTTGCAATACGATAATGTCACAACTCATTCCAGTTTGAAGACCATGGAGCACCCAGTCCATCTTGGCTGAACTGCTTTGCCACACCCACCACACAGTCCAGATTTGGCACCTTCTGACTTCATTCTGTGTGGATCAGTGAAAGATGTACTGCAGAGGCAACATTTTCTCAACAGTGATGCAACCATTTTTGTAGCAGTTGTGAAACAACATCTGCTGGTGCAGATTTTTATGGTCATACCATGCAGGCTCTTGTCCACTGCTGGTGAAAATGCGTAGCTAATGGTGGTGACTATGTTGAAAAAATAGTGGTCTGTAGCTGAGAATTTGCTCTATGAAGTAGTGCTATTGTGCTCTTTGTATCTGTTGTGGTTTCCATGAAAATAAATACGAACCATTACTTTCAGAGCAACCTACATATCTATATATGTGGAATAGAAACAGGTAAACCCAGTAAGTGAGGAGGAAGTAGCAAATACAAATTCATGTCTACATCCTTGATCTTGTCTTACGGAGAACCACTATTTCCCATTTCACAAGAAATTCTGGCACATTTATATGGGAGTATGATTGCATAGACAAGTTTGTACCTAATATCAAGGAAGTGTATCTGACAGGGACAGTGACTATGATTGGGACTTTAAAAATTATCTTTATTGGACTAATAAATATGAGTTATGCTGGAGCATCATGACTGCTCTTCAAGAAGCCATCATTGCATGCTCTGTTCTGACACCACCTTTTTACCGCAGATGAATTCTCTTTCTCCGCATGTAACTTTGGTTGCCAGCTGAGACATGAAGTCATACTGATTGCCAGTGGTCAGTTCCCTTTAATAACAGAGAACTGACAAAGAAAATTATCTTAAAATAATTGCCCATTAGTTTTAAGGGGCACAAGTTTAGCTGTCAGCAATACTGAGTCCATCCTGAGATGTACTCAGTGCAGTAATACTCCCATATCTATTTATGAACATGCACTGTGAATATACATATATACAACTGTATACACATACGTATATTCATGTGTGCACACACATATAAATGCATGTATGTGGTACATGCTTTAGATTTTTTGCAACTGAGTCCAAAACCTTGCTCCTTTGACAGATAGTCAATAGTCTACAATAGTAGACTGAACATGAACTTCCCGCCTTATAGTTTTAAAGATCCTTCCAACTGCATATACCAAAGATTACAGCTATCCAGTCAGAATGTGAAACATTACTGAATTTAGAGTGATATCTCAGCTATTTCTGTATCACCATTCATTTATTCCAAATATCTTATGGCATGCTTCAACGTAAATGCACTGTGGAGCACGTACCCTCGATCTGTCCAATACAATTTACGGTTAATCCAGTCCACAGCAAGGCCTTCGGGTATATCTATAGCTCCATGAATAATTTTTTCACGATTTGAGCCATCCAGATTAGCTCGTTCTATCCACTTCAAGGCGTTGTGGGCAAAGTAAATCTGTGAAGAAATAACACACAAAGCGTATTTAGTTCTCACTGTACTTTCTGCTTTACTTCCCTCATCTCACAGGTCTTTTTTTAAATGAACTTTCTCATCTCAAAAATTCCTTGAATACTTATTCTCAAAAATCTGCACAGGTCACCCATGATTCCTGACCAAATGAAAGGCAAATGTCCTTCAACCAGGATGACTGCTGCAGGCTGCTTGTGCTTAGCAGTAAATCCTAATTGCCCTACATACAGTCACCTCAATACCCTATGGGTTGTTGCAGTAAGCAGCTGCATCACATGCAGCGCAGCTGAGAAAGCAAAAGCAGGAGCAAGCAAAAGGAAGCATATTATCATGTCATTACCTGCTCACTTGGAAAAGGGGGCTTAATGCCACCAGAGGAGGTGATTTACACTGGGAACAATGCAGATCAATTGTGAGCTCCCCCCACAGGGCCCTGTTTCACGGAGCAAGCCATGTTCCAGTGGCACCTGAAATGATCACCCTATAATGTGGCTCTGGTTACATTCTCATTTATTTAGTTCTGTCCATCTGGTCCCTGAAATGTTTCCAGCAAAATAACTGAGCTCCTCACTGGCTTTCACTGTACCATCCAGTACCCTTCTGTGTCAATCTAACAGTGTAAATAAATTTCACCATCCCCCCAAAAAATGATCATCTGCCATGGGAGACTCAGCAAAGTATAGCTGAACCTCTCTTCTAAACTCTGCAGGCAAAGTGCAGGGCACTGGGATGTGGCCACCCGAACAAACTGCTCTCTATGAGGAGGACACTCATCTTTCCAACTTGTAATAAGAAAAAAATCCAGCAAGCATTCAGCAGTTTTGTTCAGTAATTACCATTACTCCTCGGTTTAGAAGGGACTGCGGCATGTAGCTCTTCTGAAAAAAATTCCCTGTGAATTGGCTGTGTCAACATACACATAAAGGCAGTAGGGAAAGGGTGAAACTTCAACTTGTGTGTGGCATCTTGTGCCAGTGGCAATCCTGGGCAGGCAACAGAGCATCACGCAGAGCAATGTGTAATCTGGATCACTGACAGCAGAAAGGTTAAGGCAAACGAGAGCCCAATCCATTTGTCCTTGCAACACTTCAAAATCCTCTCATTTTTAATACCTTACCTTATTTTCCACTGGGTCAGAATCCAGTGCTAAGACTACTCCCATCTGCCTGTCAAGTAAACTTGCATAATCTGTTCCATCAAAACTGATCCGGCGGATATCTTGGCTGTTTGCAAACAACAGAAATGGCCGAGGGCCTGGTGAAGAAGAATTACACATATGTTAATTCTACAAAATGGTCTCTAGACTACACGACTACATAGGATGTTGTGGGTGTGAACAACAGCTCCTGCATACGCTCTGTTTCTCTGTGTTCTTTTTGGCACTTTAATAATATAATCACCAATACTTTAACTACTGAAGTACATTCTGGGTGCTGCTTCATTTGTTTCTTTTCATATTTTGTATTTTTTTTTCAATTCTGTATAACTATGTACATCTTTTCAGGTCAAATTATTTCATTCTCACTTAACTATATTAATTACCTGAGGCCAACCCCAAGCAAGCAATGAAAGTTTTGTCCCTGGAAGGCCTGAAAGTGTGAAAGCATAAGTAACAAAGAAGCAAGAACAGAAGAGATAAAAACCTGAATATAACATTTAGAAATTATGATATACTTCCACCTCCACTGCTAGGTAAATGTCTTAAACACATAACAGAGAAGGACAGAAGGAATTTGGTAGTATTTTATTTTATTAACCTCTCACCTCTAGAGCCTGGATTTAAATCTCACACACATCTGAGGTAACCTCATGCATCTATTAAGTTAATTTGGCAGTCAAAAACTATTTCCTGAGAGAACGTTGTGACCACTCTTATTACTGAGCTAAAAGCAAGGTTAGGATTAATTGTGCTAGAACCAGTACATAGACAGACAGTAAACAGATTATTTTTCTAAGTGTTGCTCAAAGTAATATAGAACTAGTGCAAAATTGTACTCCAGTTATGCTACTCACATTAAAAGCCTCTGAAACAGTTTTGCTTTCATTGGCAGAAATAAGCAGGCTTATCAAGATACCGACCTATAGCAGTGCAGTGCTTTCTGTCTCGTTGAAGCTTATATCCAGGAAAGCAAGCACACTCCCAGGAGAATGGGCTTAAAGAAGAACATATCTGGCTACAGCCACCATTATCTGGAGACGTGCAACCTTAAACAGAGCATTGGAAAATTTTAACTTTGCCATCCTAAGGAAAAAATACAACAAAATCGTAAGTATGAGTAAGCAAGCAATTCACTCTGGTTAGGATTTCTACAGTATGAACTCTCTCCATGATGGATAGAATTCTGAAAAGCCTCATGTTGGAAGCAGAAGCCAAGTGAAATGAAATACAATTAGGTTCAGCTTCTCCTTGAGCCTTTCCTGAAAATTCAGGACACAAGGTGGGAGTGCATGGGATTGGGATATATGACCAGGCTTCCATGTGTTGATTGGTTCTGAGAACTTTTTCAACCGTGGAAATCTCATCCAAAATAAAACAGTAACAAATTCTATCAGAAATGGCACTTCATGCAAAGCAGCTGCTAATCAACACTATTCTCCAAGTCAATTAATTTAGGATGGAGAACTGATGAAATACAGTGATTTTCTTATAGAATAAGGCAAAATTTTAGGCAAAATGAAAGGAAGCCATTCATTCTTCTTGGGCTGTACAGTTCCAGCCTAAGCTTACTCAGTGGAGCATCCCCAGCAAAAAGGCAACATTGCTACATGTATATGGTACAGTGCAAAGTAAGTCGCAGTTGTAAAACAGGAAGGGGATTTATCAAGGCATGAGAGTGGCATTAACTATGCTGTCTTGATCCCTAGGCTTACAAAAATACAGCTGAAAAGTACAGCCTCCTGAATTTGAAGAGCCACTAGAATGTGGAATGGCAGATGAATAGGTGGAATTTCTCCAAATACTCTAATGGCAAAAATGCCATTTGTAGCTAAGTAGATCAAATTGCTGCAAGTTCAAGTGACTCAGAACCTGGGTTGTGCAATGTTGATAAAGCCATCTTCAGATTTCACCCAAGCCCTGATTTTGTACAATTCCTCTCAAATATAAACTGTAGATGCCACCTGCAACCAATATCTGGGAGATACCTTGTTTTGTGCTGACAGCAGAATCTGGCCTGTAAATATTGAATGTTGTTACCAGTAAGCATCTATTAAAAATGAAGATGAATATTGCACATCTCAGCGCTCAAAGAGCCAGACTTTCCACTGCCTCCTATCTTGTACAATCATTTACAGCTGTGCAAAATGACTGTAAAGTGCCATCATTTACTTCTGGTTTTCTGTGCCAAGAACAAACAGAGTTTGGCAGTCATTACCACTATAAAAATGTTAAACACTTACCCGTGCATGCTTTGCCATCCTCTTTGAGTACAGATCCTTCAGGACAAAAGCAAACAGGCCCTTTAGATGTCTGAAGGCAACCATGGCTGCATTCAGTGTCGTTATTTAAACAGGAAATTAGTTCTACAGTAATTTAAAGAGGAAAAAAGATAATCATAAATGATAGAAGATATTTTTACTAAACCTCCTTCAAAAGGAGTGTTAACATTTTCATAGCTGCTATTCGATTGTTTGGTTTTTTTTCCTCCTTCCAAATTTTTTCACACTCTCTTAATTACAGCTAAGGAAAACCCAAACTTATTGCTGAGTCATGAAGCCCTTACACTCACCAGTCTAAAATTTACAAATTTTTATGAAGGAATGAGATTAAAATAGAAACAGATAAGAAAATGATCACTTTTACATTTTATCTAAAGTGGATCAAGTTTCCAATATAAAGGGAAGTCAGACAATGTGAAAAATGTGAAGACAATAAGGAAAAAACAATGACTCCCTCTTTTATGCAGTACCACGGGATCCTCTCCTTCCACCTCATCTCTTTGCAGCCCCATTTCAGCACCACACGGCAGCACCTCCCAGAAGTAACATAGGTTTCACACAGCTGCTTCTTTGAACCAGCTGCATACACTAGCTTAAATGGAGTGTAGCTGTTGCAAATACTCCTTCCAGGCAGCTGTGCTCTGAACTGGATTGCTCTAACCCTTTAGGCACGGTGAAGAGGGTGAAGAAACCAATCTCATGTTTATTTCCCACCAGAGCATGTGGTTCTGGATGAACAGCTGCATACAAGACAATCTCAAGGTGCATAGATAGTGACATATCTTCCTTATATTGCAGTGGTTATGGAGTTATACTACCCATGCCACATCCCTAACGTATGTTAGAAAAATTGCATTTTCTATCTAATTTGAGGCACTCAAACTGTAGGCACAGAGTTTAAGTTAGTCATCTTGGACACACAGGGACATTGCACCACCGAACAGCTGCTGGCTGCAGGTCTTCAGTCACATCTAACTGCCTCATGCAGCCATCTCCCACAGCCTGGACACCTATGCTTAGATCCCTGAGTCCTGTACATGGCTTTCATTTAACTAAGGGAGAAATGCCTCTTGGAGTTTTAAAAGCCAATAGACTGTACGGCTATATTTAGACATTAGTATTGATATTTAATACATCCTATGTTCTGCCACAATCCATACTGAACTCACTGCTTTGCACTGGCACTTCTAAAGAGGGCATATAGCAATGTTTAATTTCTATGGAAACAAGGAAGAAGGACCCTTACGTGTCTCTTCCAAAGTAGAAGAGTGATGGGAGGTATCCCAAGACCTGAAGAACTTTGTTGAATTTCACATTTTATATCCTAGAAAAACTCGATTTGTTTGTAGGCCAAGCATACACAACACTGCATTATGGAAGAAAAGATATTGCCAGCTAGCAAGCAACTCAGCAAACACTGTAAAACTTAGGGCCAAAACTCAACATGAGTGCTGCATGCAGGCATCTAGAATCAGATACACAGATGCATGAAACCTGAATCCTCTTTGGTCCACAAGAGGCTCACGTGATTACTCATGTGTGACTTACTTCCTTAAAAATGTCATCTGTCTTTGGTTCACGCAGTTTAAGCTAGTCCTACTTGTATAGTAAAGAAGAGAAACAATGCAACAAGAAAAACTTTCAGATGTTTCAGAGTCATACAAGGACTGTCTCCAATATTATAAAATCACAGAATACTTTGAATTGGAGGGGACCCTTAAAGGTCATCTGGTCCAACTCCCCTGCAACAGGAGACAAAACAGGGACACCTACAGCCCCATTGGATACTCAGAGCTCCTCCAGCCTGACCTTGGGTGTCTCCAGGGATGGGGCATCCTCCACCTCTCTGGGCAACATGAGCCACTGCTTTATCACCCTCATCATAAAACATTTCTTCCTTATATCCAATCATACTGTAGACATCTTTGAATTAGTGCTACTTACCATGACATGTTTTCCTATCAGGCAGCAGAACAAAACCTCTTGGGCAGGTGCAATAATAGGAACCAGGGATGTTCACACACCCCAGAGTACAGCCATGATTCCAGAAGCCACATTCATTGATATCTGCCAAAAGAAGCACTCACTGTGTCAGAATATGATCATCAGCCAATGTCATGGAATTTAATTAACAAAGCCTAACAGTCTTCAAAAAATCTCTTTGTTTCCCATTCATTTTACAAGATATGTTGGTCCTACTAAATAATTTTTTAAAAACCAAGTCTTCAGACCTAATTCAGATAAGCTTCAAAAACCTTCAAGCAACATATTCAGGCTGTATGTACCCAGCATATGTGTCCAGAGGCAAAGTATGCATTCCCATACAGATTCCAGTGCCAGAATCCTGTGTGCACCCTAAAAATTCTCATTAGATACTTCCTTCTGACAAAAAAAAAATTCTTTTTTTTAAAAGTGGCTCCAACATGGCTTGAGAAAAATTCTCAAAATGGGGAAGTGGTTTAGAAGATTCATTTTGGAAAACAATTCTGGCTAATTTCCTGAGAATTGCATGGCTGTGTAAATGTTTTAAGCTCATCATTTTGATGCCTTTACATCTATCCAACTTTGGTCATGCGGTGAAAAAAAAAAGATGCTTCTAGAAGTCATATGTTGACAATAATAAATGATACTAGATTTTTATTAAAACAATGCACGCTCAAACATTTATACCTGTTAGGAATTAATGCAGTTTTTAAAGGTGAGGTTTAAAACAGCCACTGTGTTACAATATCTTTCAACATTTCACCTTCAGTGATGTAATCCATTCTAAGTTTTATCAGGATCCATAAGAATGACAACTTCTTAAGCTATGACCAACATTTCTCACAAGGACAGCATTTGTGGCATTTTCATATGTCTCTTTTTAGACTGTATTAGCACAGGGAAGGCCACTAAACTGACACGTCACCTTGAAGTGTTTGTTCATCCTCAAGATTGGAATAAAGTAAAAGAGCCAGATAGAGGAATCTTTTTATCTGGTGGAATAAAGCTGAGAGTGGATCTATGCATTACCTTCACAGAACTGTTTATTTCGACTTAAAATAAAGCCACTAGAACATTTACACCGATGAGTCCTTGAGTCCAGCCTGCAGATTCTTCTTCTGCACTTTTCTTTGTTCAAATCACAGATTCCTTTTTCTGGAAGAGCAAACGTAATGTAAATGTAATCTTCTGTTCAAGGAGAAAATGTTTTAAGCAAAGATGCTCAGTGACATACCTCTCCTTCTCAACTTGCTCAACCTGAGTAACATTATGCCCGTGACATTATTTTATAATAACTTCTATAACTTTCTATTGGTAAAATTGAGCCAAAAATTCACTATCAAATTAAAGTGTTTGTAGGACAAAGAGTACATTTTTCAAAGACAAAGGGTAAGTTTCTTCAGAAGAAATGAGTCCACAGCAGAAGCCTTACTCTCACTTCATAGAACAAGGCAAACAGACACTGAAGCATCTCTTTCCACAGGAAGGATTGGCAGAGCTTCGTGTCAGCTCAGCCACCTTTCACAGCTGGTGCTTCCACAGATACACAACACTCATGCTCTTATTTCTGTCTTGCAAACTATTATTTTTGTTCTAATCTTCCTAATCTTCTTCTAGGGTTGCTTGCCCCTTTTCCAAGCTAAGAATAGCTGAACTGCTGCCACTGGATATGGGTATGTAGCCACCCACACACAACTCAGTGCTTGCCCTGTGCTGTACGTGCAATAAAGGGAATCATGGTCTCATATAGGCAGGGAAGAGATTGGATGCGAAGGAATTGCCTATACCAGCTCCAATTCAACATTCAAATTCCAAGAGATGGACACCAGCATAATATTAAATTTCAGCATTTAATCTTCTACTAGCCACAGAGAAAGAAAAGCTGGCCATCAGCTGCATGACAGATCATGTCTATAAAAGAGTGAACTAATTTCCTAGACAGACATTTCATCTTGGCTGAAAGTATCAGCAGTGGATATATTTATATCAGACTGATTAATTTTTCTCTAACAAAAATCATATCGCTGAATGAAAAACAATGATGGATGACTAAATGGATATTATGTGTGTCAATAAGATAAGCATGTGAGCTTATCAGAAACTCGAATCTTATGTAGTTTGATCTCAGCCTATCTTTTTGTAGAACTATTTCTGAATTTACGAACTAGACCCTTAATCTTTGTTGCTATTGCAGCTGAATCAGACACATGTTATGGTGAGGTGCCTAACTTCCAAATACAGAACAAATCACAATGACAGCAGTGCAAATATATTCAATCTCAAAACAATACAAATGAGCAACCAGATGATACTCAAGACTGCATCTTAAAACTGAAGGTGAATAGTCACTAAGTCATGAATCACAAAAATTTTAAGATATTTTCTGTAGAAATAGTCACTATGAACCGTATTTTCTCACTGCCCCCTACCCTATCACATTTTAAATGGAAATTTTTGTTCTCAGATGATTACTTGACATCAGTATCTTACATTAGAAAGAAATAGAAGGTAATTCCTCCAAAAAAAAAAATATCCTGGGATTTCTGAATAGCACTTCCTCTTGATTTATTAACCTGTCAGAGAAAATATCTTTTAAAAATTCCAGACAGAGCCTTTGAGATTTTAAGATAATTAAAGCATTTTATGAACCATTAATAAAAGTGGAAAGAGCACTCCAACTGGCATTAGTGAATGCACATACTGACATCAAATCTAGGGTTAGTTATCAAAGAGTCTTCAGTTAAACTAAAGACCATCTTCTAGATACTACCATGCCAAAGTTGTTGTGTGGGGATATAGCAAAACCCACAGCTGAATTAATGCCCTTCTCCCTACTTATTGGCCCTGATCAGTTCAGGAAAGCCTTTTGAAAGAGAAGGAAAAAAGAGGATATGAGAAATGTAAAATAAATAATCCAAATTCCTGTCAAAAATCTGATCACATCAGTTGAGCACTTCTTGTCAGTTTCCTTCTCATCTGAAGGACTTATTTGCTATCTGCTTTAAATAAGGCCTGATAATTCACAGCTGACACTGCAGTGTAATATATACTTTCTTAGCTTGTACAGAGCATCCAATTAGTCTAGGTATGCTTTCATCTCCAGGTTTCTCTGCTGTAAGATCAGCTATAAATCTCATTTGTACTCCAGACTCATTAGCCCTTCTTTCATCTCAGTTCTCGCACTGGATAAGCCAAGCAATGTATATGCAAAGTCCAAAAAGTTCATCTGGATTCAGCCCTTTAAGCTTCTTTCTACTCCATCACTTCCCAGACATTTTTGCAAGGTATTTAGAATAAAATAGAACTACTGCTGAAAACACTGTCATAGTTTCATAAGACATGTCAGAAGATAGGAGTAAATGATGCAAGGCATTTAATAGCACTAGTACATAATTTATTAAAGAGAGGTGGGGACCAACCTCATTCCAGTGGAAAGAGAAACTTAAGAAAATAACATGTTCTAGAGGGAAGAACTAAGTGACCACAGTCAGTGAGCATTATGCTACATCCTTTTGTGGAGAGAGCATATGTAACAACTAATAGCCCCTGAGGTTCAGAAGAACACTTTCTCAGCCACTATATCCCCCTCTCTATCTTCATGCAAATGCAGATATGGCAACAGGCAGTACCAAAGAAGGCTTCATGAGACACTACATGGGGCATTCCAAATTTTGGAATCTTTGCAACAACATGAGACGTGTGGGCTTGTCACTATACTATCTACAACACACATACACCCTTTCATAGTTACTCCAGGTGTAAGCACCAAATGTATGAGTTGAAGAAAGTGCTTTAATTTGCCAAGACAACTGTTTTTCTCAAAGGAAGCACAGAACCAGTATTGTCTCTGAATGAAGATTCCCAGTGATTACAAGCGTAAGTTTGATTTCCAAGATTACTTTCTATTGTTCACCTCAACAGATCCTTGCACTGCAAACAAAGCATTTTTGAGGAAAGTTCCCTTGAAGATTTTGATTTTCCCATTCAGATCAGAGTTCAGGAAAGAGATACAGCATTATACCACATAAAGCTATTGGCTGGCATGAAGAAAGACAAAGCCTATTATATAGTAGATATTTCAAAGTGGCTCAAAAGAGACAGAGACAGTTTCATTTTTGCTCATAAAAGCACACACCACTTTTTCCTAATATTTTTATACCACCTCTTGGGCACCCTGCACTTCCTACTGCCTCAGCAGGAATCATCAAAGAAGGCTATCCGCAGTCAACTTTCATCTTCTGATCCCACAGCGAAATGCAGTGGCATGGCTATTTCATACCACAGGCTGCAACTGATACCAATTAAAGACACCTAGGGCTCTCATTTAATAGTTACTATGGCAGCCTCAGACCTGTCTTAAACAAAATGACTCTTAATTCAATGAAGCTGAGACATCCATGCTATCGTTTGTAGGTCATACTATATTCTTCTTAAAATCCTTCAGTGCCATAATAATCAATCAGAGGTATTTAGATGTGCATTACATTAAAACTTCCAGAAGAGAACTGGCATTTGATGAATACAATCAACACACACACACAAAGGCTGTATGCTCTTTACGTTTAGAAGTAAAGTATAAAAATAAATTTGTGAAAAAAAGAAAAGGAAGGAAAAGGAAAATGGAAGGGAAGAAAACTGGAAGGCTGGGCAAAAGAGATGACACAGAGAAAATCACATTTAGAATCACAGGGGCCGGAGAGAGACCTCTGAAGATCATCAATTATATCTATATGCATTCAGATTAATGAAAAGAGCAGTTAATGCTCAGCAGCTTCCTGTCTGATACTCTAGTGGACATACGGGTTACTGAAGTTGAAGAAAACTTGGTCATTGACTTTACTGAGGCCTGGAATTTTGCAGAAGAAAATTATTACTGTGAAAGGTCAGTACGTACACCATTATTATTTTCACAAATACATTACAGTTTACTTACCAAACTCTTGAAGATCTGTTCTTGCACCAGGCTGTTTAAATGGATGCACTACTTTTATCTCCATGGGTGGAAAAAGTGATGGTTTCAGGCTAATAGTGACTACAACCTTTCCAGTATACTTGTTGGCTGTCCGTATTGTACCAGACTTCAGCTCCGAATAGTACAGGTGGTCAGCAAAGAGAGACATACCAAGCAACTGATAGCTACAACATCAAAAAATTAGTATGAAAGGCACATCACCCAATTCCTGTATATACTGACTCACACATTTTATGAGCATTGAGTTCAGTCAAGTTCACTGTAAATAGCCTTTGTTTTCTTTTAGGTTGTATGTGAGAGTCAGATGAGATGCCAGAGACGCTCCCAGCACTCAAAATCCTTCAGATTTACAAGAAACAGCTACAAAAATTGTGATCATTTCTCACAGAGTATATGAGATGCTTTTTAAGACTGACTCAGCTGACAGATTCTACTGAACCAGCAATTAAAATGGGCACTTGCTTTATCGAAGGATTTAGACCAGAAAATTCCCCCCATTTCCCAATGTGGCACTGGAAAGTGGCTTCTCTGAGCCTTCTGACTGTCTCAGGAAGTTAGGGTGAAGATGGAGGGACAGGAATAGGGTTTTCCTTAAATCTGTCTTGCTGCTGCACTCAGTCAGGCACTGGGGAGACGAGGGTAACTGAAAATCTGCTGACATTCTCTGAAGAGCCTGGGCATAGGGTACCATCTATGCCTCCCTGAGCAGCAGCTGAAGAGGACAACAGGCTTAGAGGAGGACAGGGAAGACCTGATAGAGCTCAGGCTTTTGAGCATAGCTCAGACACCTGAGCTAACCTACGGTGACCTTGGACAAATCATTTAAGCTCTCTGCTTTCAGCTTCTCTATCTGCAGAAAAAGGCCACTAATAAACACTCCGAGAGGATTTCTGAGGATTAAGTGGTTATCATTTGCTAAAAGCTTATAAGATGGAGAGTACTAAGTGGCAGCATTATCTGCAGTGAATTCAACAGTTAGTTTTTTCTGTTTTCACCTTTGTAGAACTACAGTTACAAAACATTTATATGCATTACAGTGTTGTGAAGCAACAAATTAAAAGTCTCCTTATGCTTTCTTTAACTGCATGCCCAGGAAAGGAATGTTTTATTTCTGATGGCCCAGAAAAACTCACCGACCAGAACTTCGGAGCAAATGAACAGCACCCCCTTCATAGTCACATGATCCAATGTGGGAAATCTCATTCCCATGATCATGCTGGATCCAGTAGAGCCTTACGTCAACAAAATCTAGTGAGATGGCCTTTATTTTTTCTGTGGTTCTTAAAATATTTCTCACATCACTTCCATTGAGGGACACACGGTATATGCTTGAAACCGTACCATCTGATGACCAAAACAGTATCCTGCAGGAAAGAGGCATGTTTTGGAAAAAAAATAAAGTATTTATATGCTCACAAGATTACATCACTGGTATGTATTCCTTGCTCCTGTGTACAAACTTTTTTCAGTCTTACCAAAGTGCATTCAGAATCAAAACTAATAACAAAGCAAGGGGATTCCTCAGTATACATTGACCTTTTCCATGAAAAAAACATATATGTCCTTCAAAACATAGCTCTACTTAGAATGGAAATAATTTTCGCCAAAAGTGTGTTCCCTGTTCAATGGAATCAATATTACCACTAATTTTTTGTTACAGTTGTTTTCCTGTCTTAATAAATATATTTCTACCAGCAACCTTATGACTGTTCAGGAAGCAATGATATACTAGAAATCTCATGTAGGTCAAGCAGGAATCAGCCCAGCTTAACCATGAGGCCCATTTGTCTCTCTCCCTGCTTTGTTCCACCATGCAGTCAGAGAGGGAAACTAGAACTACCTCTGAAATCTACAGGGCACTGCTGCAAACTTAGGAAAAAACGTATCTTTGGCCCTCTGCCTCTGTGGAGGAAGTATCTCCAAAAATTTCAGACCAACAACACACACAGTAGTACTTTACTTAAAAATACCAAATCATTTCCTTCTACCACCTTCCTCCTGGTTACAGCAGCCAGCCTATGACATCATCAAATTAAGGCCCAGTCAAAATAAAGTTCAGTTAGGCACTGAATTTACATGCATCTGAGGTTATTAATGGATCAGAACTCAATTTAGCGATGTGACTAAGGTTAGCAACAGCTCTAATAGGGCACGTTAGCACTCATTTGTCTATTTTATTTCTTAAGGCTTGGGTTTAGATTCATTGCTTTAGATTCTTACACTTAAGCACACAAAAATCCAAGACACTTAATAATTTTGCCTTATCTTCACAAAACTGCAAGATTTACAGTATGAAACAGCATAAAGCCAGCTTTACTGCATTAATCTATTGTTAAAGACCCTGAAAAGGATTAGATCTCACTGGCAAGAGATTGTACTAAACATGCAGGAAGAAACAACCCTTGCCTCATGACTTTTTCTCCCTGTTACATGGTCTCCAGTCACCATAGATTATTAAAGTAGATCCAAAAACATGTTTCCAGAAGGACAGTCCAACTTTCTACTGTCATTTTTAAACACTTTAACACCTGCTCACATTTCTGTGCCACCTTTTGCTATTTAAGAAACTTCAATGCTCTGGAAGTTTGAATAATAGCATTCACTTTTTGTCAATTAGAAAACTAAGAAACAGCAGTAATTATAGTTTCTGTGCAGATATTTTGCAAATCTGTTTATGATCTTAACAAACAGGAAGAGTGAAGAACAAAGTTTACAAGCCAACTTGAGTAATTGCTAGCATTTACTTTATTTGTCATCTCCTTTTATTTTTAATCCTGATTTTTCAGCATTTCTAAATAGCATTAAAAAAAAAAAAAATCAATCTTACTGCTAGGGTTACATCATTAGCAGTAAAATAATCTTATCACTACTAATATCTAGGCACATTGATTGAGAGAAACTCTATTACTAGGGTATCACATTGACTTTCATTTCTTAAGAGTTGCATAGATCTTAGGAAAGACACTGTTAACATCAGACTTAGAGAATGTTTATACCTGTGTGCATAAACATTTTGTTGGTTTTTGCTTTTTTTTTTTTTTTAATTTTTTTAATTCACATCAAAAATAGAGCCTTTAGGATTTCCATAGAAGCAAAACACACCAGGACAGAATTGTAACATCAGACTTCTTGAAGTCTATTTCCTTTACAGTTTATTACTGGCTTTCTGTAAGCATATATGTACAGTTTCAGTGCATGGTGAATCACACCTAGGTGAATACACAAACTTGAATCTCCACATATGCTTGATTGAGTTCAGGAGATATATTTCTATAATGTCACTTTGTAACATATCCATCTATGGCATTTAACCATGGATTTAAGGACACATGAATATTTCCAAAACTGGTAAACACTATATTTAAGTAAATCAGAAGAAAATATTTTAAATGAAAATACACTTATTTATAGTCTAAGTGTACCAGGTTGGGAGTAAAAGGGATTCACAATATTTGGGATGAACATTTGTGAGCAACATTTGGATGGCTGGACTAGATGGTCTTGTACGTCCTTTCCAACCTTTTGATTTTATGATTTGCAGGCATTGGAGCCTTTGCTGCTCCAATTCTTCCTGCTGCCCCGAAACTATGCTCTCTTTGGGAAAGGACCAGTGGATTCTCAGATCTCCTAACTAATGAAATTTTCTCTGACGACCAATAGGTATAGATTCTGCATTAGACCTTAGTAGGCATTTCTCACACACTTCTCCGCTTCTCTCTTATCTATTTATTAATCTTTTATTCTATTACCCCCAAAGAAAGGAGATTCAGATTAGATGTTTGGCAGAAATTTTTCACTTTGTGGCACCGGCACCAGCTCCCCAGAGAAGGTGTGGATGCCCCATCCCTGAAGGTGGTCAGGACCAGGCAGAATGGGGCCCTGAGCAGCCAGACCTGGTGGGGGGTAACCAGCCCATAGCAGGGGGTCAGAACTGGATGAGCTTCAAGGTCCCTTCCAACTGAAGTAATTCTACGGTTCTATGACTCTATGATTTTATCAACATTCAAGTAGGTATTGTACTAAAGACAAAACACCATGCATACAGTATTTCCACAACTGATAAACCACAGTCACAGTACTTAGTCTATTAGAGTTCATTTTAATGAAATTACTAACCTAGTTACAATTACCTTTGCTCAGCATCAATGGCAATCTTTGTGGGACGACCAACATCTCTTAGAAGAACTTGGCGTTTCTTTCCATTCATGTCTGTTGCTTCTATGGTTGCTTTCTGTCTATTGGCCCAGAGAATGTCCTGATTTATCCAGTCAATAGCAAATCCTGAAATGCCTTTGTCTATATAACATAATCTCTGTAAACAACAAAAAATTGTTAACAAGAAGTATCATAGTTCCACAAGCTTGACTTTCAGTACATTGACTACTGTGCCAGACTGAGGTTTCCATCTCTTTCTACTGGCCTGCTTCATTTTCTCTCAGACCTGTATTATTGGTCTTTCTTATTTTTTAATTGTTTTCATTTTCCCTTGGCTCTTACATACACTCCTTCTGAATGAGTGAACCACAGGTAAAAGAGAAAATATTACTTGTAAGCAATACGCTGGACTGATCTTCTAGCTACAATTTCTGCCTGCATTTCAAACATTATGAAGCACCCAGATGAAAGACAACCTAACACACTGTTGCTGGAGTTTGATCCTTAAAAAACAGCCTAAAATACGTAAGTTAAGATTCCACATGGGTACAGCAAAACCAGTAATCTCTCTCCAACAAAAGAAGGTTCTCACAGCACTGAAGTGCAGCCATACCAGCCTGTGTTTCCTTTAATGAGCCAGAGGCAATGAACTGCACAGTTTTTTCTGAACAAAGGATGCAGTTCTAAAAGAAGCATTTATGCAACCATAGAAACCGATAAAAAGATTGAGGAAAAAAAGAGCAGGAATTCAAGCACATTCTTCTCATACCATTTGTGGTGGTTTGAGTTACAATAATCTGAAAGACAAACTTTCATAATGCCAAAGATTAATTTAAAACTGATAGAGACATCATTGTCTTCAAAGATTTGGCTTGTCTACATTTCTTCCCTTTTAGTTGATCTGTAGAAAATACTACATGTACTGTGAATGTTGGTAAAACAGCCTAGGCTCAGAACCAGAATCATTATGGCAGCAAAAACCATTTAATAAGCCTGAAATGCCAATAAATAAACAGGAACCGCAGAATTGCACCTCAGAGTAGGTGTTTCTGCATAGAGTTTAATGCCCAATAACTCGAACAGGTTGAGAGAAATGATGACTTTACCTCTCTTTTTGTGCCATTCAGGTGAATTCTTTGCAGAAGTCGCTTTTCTGAATCTACCCAGTACACTTTCTCTTCTGTATAATGAAAATCCATAAGTCCTGATGGACCAGCATCATCCACCAATCTTTCATGATTGGTCCCTTCAGTGTCAATTCTGTAGATGGCACTTCCATGGTGAAAAAGTAGGAATGGTGCAGGGTCTGGTGTGGAAAAAAAAACGGGGGGGTGGGACAGAACGACACCAATTAATAGTTAAGCATTTAATTTTTGCTGCATTGCATTAAGTTTCTGGTTGAATATTAGGAAAAATTTCTTCTCCAAAATAGCAGATGGGCACTGAACAGACTGCCTGGGGAGATGGTGGAGTCATCATCCCTGGAGATGTTCAAGTACTGCATAGTTGCAGTAATGAGGGGCATGGGTTAGTGGGTAATATTTGTGGGTAGGTAGACAGTTGGACTAGATGATCTTAGACATCTTTTCCAGCCTTAATGATTCTATGATTCTAAATTCTCATCAGTATTATCCTAGACAGTGTAGGAGATATAACCTTCTCACTCATTTTTAATGGTAATTTTCTAAGTACTGTACAGAGAATCAATGATCAGTGTGATATAAATATAATAGTTCATTCACATTTACTGCTGAAAATCCATTAGGTCAAAAATCTGAGTAGTGAAACTGAGATTGCAGAAAAAGTTGTAACTAGAATATATATATTTGGAGACAGAGACCAATCTTTAGTATACCCTTAAAGCACATTCAAAGAAGAAAGTCCCATGATGGTTGTTACCGTGGGGATTTATAAAATGGTTGCCTGAAACAACAGATCGTGTCATACAAGAAATTCTCTTGTCAAGTGACTTTGAAATACAAGCACTTATACAGATCCAAGAGAATAACAAGTTTAAAACCAATCTAGTCACCTGTTGAATTAATGTTTCCAAGAATTCAACCCCCTTCACAGCAGAGGAAAGAGCCCAGGTTTGATTTCACCATTGAACAAGTTCTGACAGCAATCAGGATGTAATTAACTGCTGCTCACAAGGAAGATGATCAACACTCTGAATTCAAGACTATTACAGCAGTGCATATTTGGAGTTTTCAAGGTATTACCCAGTTATAAAAATTGCTTCTAGGATGTTAGTGTCCCCCTTTTTCTGCTGCTATTTGCACCGAGCAGCCCCATGTGAGAGAGTTTAAACTATGGAGACTTGCTTTACGTAAATGGTAAATGAACAGTGAAGTGTAGCAAGGTTGATTTGTCTCAGGAATGTGACAGCTGTACTGCCAGCATTTTTGCCAACTAGATGACCAAGAACATTTTTATACTTTGTTTTCTGTCCTTTCCACTCTCTGAATTTACCAGCTGGAGCCTGCAAATGAGGGCTGTAAATGGAATTGGGACTGAACTAATCTGATTCTGATCACAGAGGAGCCAGTCAGATTTGGGATTAAATTTTATCACCTCTCATCTATCGTTATTACTACTATAAATATCAGTAATAACCTTTAAAGAAGTTGAAGCCCTCATACAACATAATAAAGCAAGACAGTTATTTGAAAGATACCTAAGCACAAATATCATTGCAGGTTAACAGGTTTGTTTTCAGGTCTCTTCAGCTCAAAGGTGAATGGCTTAAAAAGCAGTCAAATTAAAAAAAAGAAAAAAAAAAAATCTATATAAAGACATTCTTAAGTAGTACTGAAAGAAATCTAGCCTGGCTCTTTGCATTGGTGACAATTTGGGAGCTGCATGGAATAGTTTTGATTATTGTACTGTACTGATTATTGTGAAGATTAACAACATCCAGAGAGAATCAAGGACATCTCCAAATCCTTAATTTGGAAACCAGCTCTGCCACATCTCATCTCCACACCAGGGTGAGTCCCAGGTAAATATTAGAAAGAAAACGTGGGTCCTGGACCAGGAAGGAGTTGTAGCAAGTCCCAGACAGGAACCAAAACCAGACGTTCAGGAAACCAACAGGGAGAGGTGAGAGGTGAAATTTAGAGCACTCGCACACCATATTCAAGATGCAAGGTTAAACAATTAATAAAATCCAACCAGATTTTTTCCCATGAATAGCACCAGTTGAGTACAAAACTAAGATTATTTAGAAGGTGTAATGATGGATATTTTCCTCTCAGAAGGGTTAAATTCTCTTTAAATGTCAGTACTTCTTACGTGATCAAAAAACAATTGAAACCCTCAAGAGAGCAGGAGAGAAAGACCTCACGTTAGCACTCAGGAGACAGGACAAGGGGAAATGGCCAGAAACTGCAGCATAGGAAGTTCCGCACAAATGTGCGCAAGAACTTCCTTACGGTGAGGGTGACGGAGCACTGGAACAGGCTGCCCAGGGGGTTGTGGAGTCTCCTTCTCTGGAGATATTCAAGACCTGCCTGAACACCTACTTTTGGTGTAGGAAATCTGCTTTGGCAGCGGGGTTGGACTCGATGATCTCTGGAGGTCCCTTCCAACTCCTACCATTCTGTGATTCTGTGATTCATGTTTATTATGAAAATGCCTATGGATCAAACCAAAAAAGTAAGCGCTGCCTGCATTTCACAACTCTGCCTCTACCCTAAATACGCTGGACAGATATCAGTGCCAACAGATTAGAAGAGATGCAGGTAGCAAAATCTCATATGCTGCTGTCTTCTTCTGGTAGAAGTAGGGACACGGTAATAGAGTGATCACAGTTCTGATCACAGAGGAAGAGTAGTTTTGCTAAATAGAAAATCATGGTTTGTTTTCATTTGCTTTTGTGTGTTTTCCTGTTTCCTACTACCTTTCATTCTCCACTTCATTCATTTTCCCCTCATCACACAGAAGAGGCAGTTTTTCAGTCACCAAACCAGAGCTGCTATGCAGTATCTAAGTCAGCACCATGAGTAGGGTCAGGTGAGATATCATTCACTTCTAAATATAATGCTGACTGCTAACTGAACTCTAAAGTACCTTTTCAATCACAAAAAAGAAAATGAACTTACCATTCACATAGCAAGACCGTTTGTCGATATCCAAGGTGTAGCCAGGCAAGCAGGAGCAGAAGTAGGACCCCGGCACGTTTGTACAGGTTTGGCCACAGGTTCCCAGACCACCTTCAAGGCATTCATCAATATCTGAAATGTGGTTTTTGAACAGATCAGGACAATTCAACTAGAAACAGCAGCACAAGGCAAACAGAAAGAAAACCCTTCACAGAGAAAGCTAGGTACAAAATATCACATTAAGAGAGGAAAGGAGGGTGACTGTATTGCATTATGCATTGCTTTCAAGATTATTTCCTTTGCTTGCCATCACACACACAGGACTGTGATTTTTATTGTTTTAAGAGACTATCCAGAGAAATTACCATTCTACCCACTGTCTGGGCACTCTACACAAATGGTCTCCAATTGCTCAAACAGAGAGAACAGACTTGTCTCATACTCCATTTCTGCTATTTACATAATCATCTGCTATGCAAACGCCCTCTGCAGCTGCTTCCCTCTATCATTATCCCTCCATCCACAATAACATTTTTGAAAATAAAACTCCAAATTTCGCAAAACAGCAAAGCAGCAGCCTGCTATGGCAGTGAGCTCATTTTTTGTTTAAGCCCTTTTTGTTTGAGTTTCAAAAACACATACAAAACACTTAAAAAATTATATATACATATGTGTGTGTATTCTGAGATCAGCAAGCACAAACCAAGGCAGCAAACAAACAAATTAGAAACCTGACTTTTAACTGGTAGGGTATAAATAGTAGTAAATATAGAAAATTAAGGATCTTACTTTTCAAAACAGTCACCATTGAGGATCCCATTCAATAATAAGAGGGGAAGATATTACCCTATTTGGCAGCACTCAGCACCGTGGATGATGGTCCCTAAAAGTTCAGAGAATCTTCAGTTCCTACTGAAATAAAATGCATCTGATAACAACTTCCTGAGGTCACTGGCATCATACCCTTTTGTATTTCTTGGATAAGCACAGTGAAGGATGCTCTGAGGAGCAGCTTTTCCCTCAGGCAAGATCAAAAAATTAAAAAGTGTACACAATAAGGATAAAAGCATGATTTAAGTGTAAGAAAACAGCTTGTCGGTAAGACATTTGAGAGCTCTGTCTATTTAGCTTATCAGTAAGAAACCTGGGAGAAGTTGACTACAATATACAAATACCTTCACAAAGAACCAGCTTTTCTCAGAGACGTTTTAACCTCCCACAGGAAATAATTTAAAAGTTCATGTCTGAGAACTGAAATGAGAGAAATTCAATTCAGTTAACAGAAAATATGATTCAGTAAGGGAACTGCTAAGATACCACAAAAAGCTGTGACACCGTGAAAACCACTAGTGGATGTTCTCAAGGCAAGACCAGAATGGGGAGACATGCTTTAACAAAGCACAGGATGCTGAGCTGTATACTAAGGTAACTGGAAAATGGCCTGTGTTTTACAGGGTGGTCTCCTCCATTATTAAGCAATATGAATCTATAGATCAGATCACACTGATCATTCGGGCTAAAAGAATTTATGCTGATTGTCTGGGTAGTTGTACTTGAGAGGATTTTAGGATTATCAGTGTGCCCATTTTCACCACTAGCAAAGTTCACACAGTAAAGAAATTTCACACATTCTGAAAAGGGAATAATCACTCCAGCTGAAGATTGCCAATGAAAGCAGAGGGATGCAGAGACAGAACACCCAGGCATCAAGGAGTGGACTTTTCAGAGGTAGAGAGGAAGCAATGAGAAACACTGAGCTGTTATTAAACACATTGTTAACACTTGACTCATTCTGATAACAGTGGAAGAGGGTCCTGTTATTAACATACTCCCTTCTTTTCGTAAACTTGGGGAGGGGGAGTAGGAAATAAATAAATGTTTCTTAATGCTTAGGAGAACTTGACCACAACAACATCCGTAAGTTGAAACCTCTCATGCCTTCACCTGAGTTCCTTGTGCCAAAGCCATGCACATAGCTGTACAGCATCCTGCTGTAGCTGTTTCACACCTCCTGCCTCCTGGCAACCACTTCCCCCAGTGGGAACTTTGTCCTGTGAAAGAAATAGGCTTAGGGAGTACAAAAGCTGTCTGCAGTGCCCTGACAGCCAGTCCTGAAAGGACGAATGAGGCTCTGCTCTGTTCTCAAAGGCTTCTTTATGCAGAAAATGCCTTGAGAATCAACAAAAACGATGAATCATTTCATCACGACATTGGCAGCCCTCAATGACTTTGCATACAAATATGCCACTTTGTTGAGAGTCCTGAGAAATGCTCTAGTTGCAGAAGGTGAAGCATTAGTATGCCTGGCAGGGACACAGAGAAACCACAGTGAGCCAGAAGTTGCCTTTCATTATGGCCCCAAGCAAACGGACTACAGATGTAAAATATACACTTGCAAATAGGCATACTCACTCAAAATTTGGTTAATGTGGACTTTGAGGATGAATTCAGTTCACTTCATCTAGCCACCAGCATAACCTTTTCACACTTAAGGAAACAACCCACCTTTTTTAACTATTTGGTTAAAAACATACAACTCAACAGAAGACAGCCAGAGAAGATACTTCAGCTACCAACGAGTCACAGTAAGATTGAAGTGGCACACTCAGTATCTCTGCTACCAAATTTTTCAATGAGATTTGAAGTACAACTCAAGCGCTCACAGTTTTTGAGAGGGTAGAGGCTGCGTAGTGCTCCTGTATTGTGGTAAGGGACTATGGTATCTTTAGTATCCTGCCTTTCTGGACTCAAATCTCAAGAGTTAAGCCACAAGAAGAGAAAAATAAATAAACATCACGCATAAATTAGTAACTACAAAATCATGTCCAAGGTATTTTCATAGTTCCAGCAGACCTCTATTTTCCAGATCACGGAGTTCAATTTTCAACATAATGTTACTGGATTGTTTTTCATGATGCTATTACCTATCTACCCCTCCTTGAAATGCATCAGCAAATACTGTCTTCCAGCTCCCTTTAAAAACAAATTTCAAATGATATTCTATAAAGTCATAATTTTTGCTTAAAACAGAATATCAGATTAATATCTGTTATTTTCCACTGAGAAAAACATTGATGAGCCTTGTAGTAACAGTCACTGGCCCTAGAATCTGCTTTTCAGCATTAAACTTTATGTGTAATGTGATGCCAATTCTATCATCTCTTGTGACACATTTCCCTCTTTTCTATTCTGATCCAAGATTTTATAGGTAAGGACAGTATTTGCCCATATTCAGCTGTATCCAATTTCCAGAGAACTCAGAGGGGATCTTCTCATGATTTGGCCATGTTGAAGAATTCTCTCTTATTATTTGGTAAGTGTATTTTCAATCAACTTCCCCATGGCAGTGTAATATGAAGTGAGATATCTGGAAGACAGCTGATGAAAAGAGGCAAGCAAACATGCCTCTACTTCAGCTCTTCTGAAAAAATAGGGATACAGTGAGATCTCAACAGGATTATCCCTAATGTTAAGTCACGACAGGGGTAGACAATACAATTCCCCATTTCACTGGCCCTTACTGCTCCTTATGCAGTGTTTGCAGCGTCTGTTAATTTGCCAGGTTTTGGCATTTCAAACGTCTCAGAAAGCAACATAAGAATTCTTAAAAGGGTGTGAGGCTGCATGGAGCAAATCGAAGCCAGCATTTAGCTAGTCAAGATGAATTTAAAGATGTAATACAAAGAGGAATACTTCTATATTTCATGTCACCAGCATTCTATGATTGGAGAAGAGTGAATAACAAAAAAGAAAGGAGAAAATTTTGAAACACAGAAAGAAGCATCTGACTGAAAGTGTTGACCTAGATAGCTGCAGTCGTCACCTCCAATTGCAGACTTTAGCTCTGTAGGAATGTGCAGCATGCTGAAGAAGTGAAAAGAGCTGATCAGTTAATATCAGAAGTTAGCAGAGACAGTAGAGTAAGGTTCTATGAGTAGGTACAACTTTAATGACAAGGGTTGTGTTTTCCCTTTTTATTATATGTTACAATTTTACAATATTATAAAAAATAAACTTATTTTTAATAACTATATTTCTTTTCCTTTAAAACTGACAGAATGAGTTCTCAAAATCAGTCCTGAAGCCAAGGTGCATACCAAATCTTGCAGTATTCATAACATAATACTTTTGGTAGCCCAAGAGAACAGGCACTACTGTCCTTCTGAAAATTGGTAATGCATGAGGCTGCTCTATGGGTGTCTTCAAATAAACACTGCCATGTGGGAAATTTTCTTGGTTTCAAGTGGGGAGAGTATCTATATCCCTCAGGACGATAAAAAAAAAGTGTTGTTAAATCAATACTTCAGGAAGGGATAATCATTTGATTTCAACAGGCATAAGACCCATCTCCTGGTGTACATGAATGCTTAGATGGTTAACAACATGAGAAATCAAAGCTCTCCCTATGTACACATTTTTACCTTGCAGAAAGAACCATTGTGTGGCCAAGACTATTTTTATTTTAGAGTAAGTAGGTTTTGTTTTCACAAGGGTCTAAGGAAGGTAAGTTATTTAATGGTAACCAAGTTCCCACTCTTTACATCATCATAAGTTAAGTCAAGATGACAATGTCAAGAATAGAAAAAAATGCTTCCAGTTGCATCACAGATTTCTTATAAATGGATATAATCTTGCAACAGGCCAGTCTTATTTTGATCTCATGCTCTGTTCTCCCATACTTTGTCCCTTATAAACTGTGCTGTATCTGTTCCGAGATACGTGCTCTCCCAGCTTAAAGGCCTTTCCTTTCTTGGCATACCAACTCAGGATTCAAATAATGTCTCTTAAAATAACTGTATAAAATTACGTGAAATGTTTAGAGCTAGATTTCAATATCCTTCAACAGGATGAGATGCCTTTGATCTTTGAATATCCCTAGAACTAAAAGGAAATAATTAAGAAGTGAGTTATTTAACAATATATGAAAAGCAAAGCCTAGGCCTTCATAAGTAGTGGCTGTATGGAAAACTATTCTAGAAAAGTTGGAAAAACACTTTTCAGTCAGTGCTGTTTGTAAGGGACAGCTTCTTAATTCACTATAGTCCTTATGGCTGGCAGGATGCCACCATGGTCACAGATGATACAGAACATTTTACAATTGGTATATTTATTACAGCGCACCAAGAATGGTTGCCAAGCCACAGATCACAGCCTGCTGTCATTGTTCACAGCTCAGTGGCATGAGTCATGTCTCCCACTCACCACTTGCATCCCCACTATTACCTTCAAAGTCTGCCCCCAGCTTCCTACCATTTGCTGCCACTGCACCCTTTATCTCACACAGTTAATGAACTAGAATATCACACATCCGCTCTTCTGGTCAGAACAGAATTTGCATATCCAGTTCATGGAAGAACACAGGAAATCCATTCCATCAAAGCATCCTGCAGTCTAATATTTCACATCAAAATTTTATCTTTTCTTAGTCACCCATGAATCAGTGGTCTCTAATTAAAAAGATACCTTAGCATAGCTCATTTTTTTGTTTATTATATGTTACACAGAATTGCTCATGGTAACATCAGCTCTCATGCAGAAGACTACTTCTATCAGTTCTTGCGCTGTCTGCTGAACTAGCAGCCATTCTGTTTTGGTGCTTTACCCACACTCTCCTCAAGGCCAATAGAGCAATTGGATATCTAATTTTCAACAGAAAAAACACAGTATTATGTCTCCATTAATGGAAGAACAGTGCACATTAATGTGCAAAATAGGTCACCTGAAATTATATATATATATATATATATAAAACATTTCACATATATAATATATATATATAGTCACTTTTTGAATGTGTAGTACATTTTGACCCAAAGGAAAGTGCCATCAATTCACTTCATTTCAGGATTGCCCTATTATACACAAGGTATTAACTGGGCATCCCTAAAATGCAGAAGTCATAACTAATGTACATCCTAATTAGGTCCTGAAAGCTAGGTTCATATTAGTAAATAGTGTGGACCTATAGGAGAGGCTCTGTAGGGTGCAACATTTGGTGGGGATCTGACATCCAGATTGCACATATTTCCATGTAGGGTTATGGAGAACCAGGTCTAGTCTGGTCTTGTGGACCAAATGGCCATCAACAGCAGAGAGAATAGATGTTCTCCTAAAGTACACTTTCTGGTTTAGATTGACAAAAAGGGAATCCAGTCCATGCACTCTGGGACTGTACCACAGTGTGAACACAAGCACGGTAAGAGGCAAAAGTACGGAGGTTAGTTTCAGAAATGTGTTTCTCTCTTGAATTCAAGAATCAGTGTAGAGGTACCCTAGGTGTGCTTGGAGCTCTGACAAACCTTTGGTCAGGTTTATCATTTATATATAAGAAATGCCTGGCTCCTTTTCTCTCAATACAAGGACATTTAACATGTGTACTTCTATTTTCTGCTTACAAGTTGGTATTTCTTGGCAGGATGTGCAGAGAAGGCACCTGTTATTAACTCACTGGAATCGTGTCAAGAACTGAGTCAGAGCTCTGAAGCCCAAGTAACTAAAGCAAAGCATGAACTCAAAGTATTAGGTCTGGGTGCAAGACTTCCAGGGCATTTCCTCATCTCCTTACCAGAAAAAAAAACATAGTCCTTCAAAGTAGCAGGGGGGGAGGTTTCTGTCGTGATTTGTCCTACACTTTGTGAAGAATAAGAACCTTAATTTTACATATTCCAAATCACTGAAGGTTATCATACTAACATTAATGTAATATATCTCCCTCAAATTTTAGCAGTACAGTTCCAAATACATCTTTTTTTATATACATGAGTCATTCATTGTATATTTGCACACAGATCTGTATATAACAGTACTATCATAGCAAGAGCAGTTTTTAAAGTTATCCAGCCCATATCTAAGTATTTACTTGTACACATCTACAATCATTACACTTCTCTTTCTATATGCATATAGAAGTTCAAAAACACATGCACAAGTTATATACATATAGAAGCAGGAATCTGCATGAGTGTGTATGTGTGTAAAAATACAGAGACACTACAGCTACACAAAGGCATTTTTGTGATTAGTGAGTAGTTCTGATCTCTTATTGACTACATAAACCTTCAACCTGCTTTGTGATAGCTGAACTGGCAGACAAGGGACCGATTTCTGAAAAAGCAACTAGACAAAACATCCATTATGAGAAGGAAGAGACAGTGAGAAGCTGCTGTATCAATTGTGCATCTACCACGCGTAGGCAATCTATATAGAAAACTCATGATAATTATAAAGCTCCGTTAAATGAATACAAATGCTTTTTTCTTAATTTGTGAATGGTCCACCACTTACCTACACAGGCAGAGCTTTCACTTTTTAATCTGTATCCATTAGGACAGTTCCAGTGCTGCAGAGCTGAAGGGCTGGCAAAGCCAGTGGTAAAAAACACTGGCAAGAAAGCAACAGGGAAGAGAAACATAGTCCTGAGTTTTTTAAACTGTCATTCGAGAAGAGCTAGCTTGTCTGCAGTCATATCCAGGGTGAGATGAACATAGGTAATCCCAAATAGTCTCTGTGATCTCCTGCTTTACACTCAGACATCTTATCACAGCACGAAGCTTTATCTTTGCCTGCTTTTCTTGTCAGTCCAGAGTGTCTGAATACAACCTTGAAGAAATTCCTAGGAGATTTCTTCCCCGCACATGTCGTTTTCTCTCTCTCTCTCTCTCGTTTCTTTCTTTTTTTTTTTCTTTTTTGGAAGCCAAGTATGAAATGCCTGACACTCTCGCCACAAATTTAACACAGCTTAAAAGCAAGGCTCACAAGGATCACTGCAAACTTCCTCACAACACACAAAGCTGCTGTTCGGGTCTTAAAAGCAAAGATTTCAGAAAACTTCACTGCTGCCCTCAGTGGAGTACAGGGACTGCAATCTCCAGGTACTGTCCTGTGAAACGCAGTTGCTTTTCACACACAGACTTGGACGGACTCCCCTTTCCTTTTTAAGGCTCTGCTTGCCCCACCTCTTCTCTTTTTAGTACCACTCCAGTGAACCCTGTGTTTGCAAATAGTAACTAGCACTAGAGAAATTTCAGCTGCAATCTCCCAGCTCAGCAAAGCAGAGAGCACAAATGTGGGTAAAGTGCTGAATTTTTCATGTGCTGGCAGCTAAGCAGGTGTTTCAGTGGCTGATTGAGGCTGACTGCATTGTGCTAAATGCTCTGAGGCATTCTGGTTCTGTTGCTTTTCTCTTTTTTTTTTTCTTCCATGTCCTCAATATTGCACTGGAATAAACACTAACACAGGAACAGCAGTAGCAGCAGACAGCAACCTGCAGCTGTGTGTGCTCCTCCCTGGGAAATTCCCCCCCCCAGTACAGTGCTGAATTGATAGGAGTCCTGACTTGCACTGACAGATAGTAAGTATAAAACCTGATTATCAACTGGGCTACTGTCAACTAAAAGCAACTGTTTCTTGATGTTTTGGGTCTGTACCCATGTCCTGCTTGCTCAGTCTTCACTGCTACAGCTAATGCACCTAATTAAATCTGGGCTGACAAATGTGAACCACGTTTTCATATACGCTGCTCAGAAATGAGTCTCTATTCTGTGTGTTATAAAATCCAATAATAGTAATGCAAATTATGCAGGGACAGACTCATGCCAAACAGTATCTGCTTCTCCAAATAGTCCCCTGGAATACAAAAGGGCAACCAGTGTGAAAGTGGAGCAATGCCATTCCACTGAGGATTACAGTATCCTTCCCAGGATCCGTGGTACATGCCACAAGGGTCTGTTCTACTAATTCTGCTACCATGGGTTCCTCCTCACATTATTTTCTTTGCTGTTCACACTGTGAACACACAACCAGAGCAGCTAGGAAGGAATGTGGCACTTCTTTGTGAGTTTGCTGGATCGCAACAGTGGCAGTCCTGGCGCTGCTCCGAACTCTTCCAGAAGAGACTCAGGCAAATCACCGGGATACAAAAACAATAAACTCTCCTTTTCATATTAAAACACAGAAGTAATTTTTGTGTCGCTCTTGAGGCTCTCACATTATTTTAATCTCTCATTTACACTGTTGTCTTTATGGAACAATTCCTTCATTCTTTCCCCCCTCTACCACTATTCATTTACTCTTTTTGCCTTTACTCAAAGCACTGTCAAAACCATGTCCAGACCTTCCCTTTGTTTTCTAAATTAACAGTGAAAAGAGAACTGTCCAATGTGTCAATACCACAATGATGTTTCCTGGAAGAAGAGATCCCTTCTCTGCACTCAAAGAGTGGTTTATAGAGTCATTGATATCATCACCCTAGAAATACAGGGATGGCTTAAAAACAGGATGAATAAACACTTAGTAGTAGAAATAGGTTTTTGGTTCTTACAGGCCAAAGGTACATCAAGCCAAAAATAAACTTCAGCCCAACTGTGCGAAATGATAAAGGCCTGAGGATGTACATGATAGCAAGTGCATAGAATTGATCACCTTCCCTTAGACCAGACCAAGAAATCCTCAACAAAAGATGAAATCCATCCAGCTGTACCAAACAGCTAAACTTCTCACACATACCATTTTTCGCCATGTAGTTTAGCATGCTGTGTGCAATGATTCCTGAATCATTCAACATTTAAGTCATTTCAAATATGCTACCACAAAGCCCATTGTGCCCATCTAGAGGTATGAAGTACAACAATATATTTCAGCCTAGCATTCACACAATAAATCAGATAAATTAATACAGTAGCCTCATTTGTGGCACTCATTACTCAATCAGCCCAAATGATCTCAGATTCATCTGTCCTTGTATATCAAATGCAGAGAGTTGATTTAGTTTAATCTGATCTCCCAACTCAGTGATTAATAAATTAATAACAAATAAACATTCTTTTCTCCCTTTGTTTTGGACTTCCCACTACCTAACTAAGATTTGGAGGTCTCGCTTTGCCAAAGCAGGTAAAGATCAGTTAGTCACCCAACTGGAGAGAGCCTTGTCCCCTACCTTGGCAAAGAGCTGATGTTGTCTGATTCAAGGACAGTATGTTCTGGCTCTTTCTGAGCCAGAAGGAAAGAGAGCCCTCCCTCTATTTCCCAGAGCTTTCAGTATCAATATTGTATTAATTTGCACATTGTTCGAATCATATATTGGCTTTTATTCTTGCTTACTACACATTATACTAGCTTGTCAACACTTCAAATTCTCTTCCTGTCAGCCTCTGGAAGTTTGATCCTGGCCTCAGCCATATTCTAATCTGGTTAAAATTATACTTTATAGTCAGCACCATACTAATTACTGCCAATAGAGGTTAATGATTATATGCAGGAGCTCACTGACACAGAGTAGAAAATGTGTAGTGGCTATTTCTAGTAAGGGCTCACAGCAGAAAGGAGCACTCATAACCCCACAAAACAGCCCCTCAGATTCATCCTGATGGCCCCAGGGAACCTGCCAGCCCAGGGTCAGAGTGCCCATGGGACAGAAGGTGTATTGCCAACGAGGCAGGAGCTGATGAACACAAGTAATTTTAATGACACTGAAGATTTCTGATAGCCTCCAGGGAAGCAAAAAAGAAGTAAAAAACAATCAACAAGTGAGAGGGCAACATATTCTAGTGATCTCCAGCAGTCAGGAATGTCAAGTCTCCTCCCATGGTATGATGGCCATTCTGTTTTTGTCCTCAGGCATGCCACTCATTGTTCTACTCAACCTATTTGAAAACGATACTTAGCCAGCAGGATGTTTTAATTTAATTTATTGGTAAAATTAATTGAAGAACAGGGCTTTAACCATGAAAACATCACAGAAACCAAGTGCTGTTGTAGGTAATCTCTTTCCAGTTGTCTCAGTTTCTTTTATGGCAGCAATTAAAACAAATACTCATAGGAGTTTTTTGGCTATTTGCAATTTTTCCAACTTCAATCTGATCTTAAGGAAAAGAAAAAGGGAAAAAAAAAACACAACCCGCTCAATCCTCTGAAACTTTACTCAACTATAACCAATATTGTATTTTCAAAGCATTTTGATACATTTGAACATTTTAATAGGCACCTTCCACCACTGGCATCCACGAAGGATCCAGAAGGAGAGTTCAGCATGCTCTCCCTTGCACCAAGACAGACAGAACAGCAGCAAAACATTCTGGGGAAGCCACATAGCACATTGCTGACTTATGACATTTATCAACGTTAGATGCCTACATTAGGTCTCTATGTTAGCAAACATAAAGGAGTGGCTAAAATAGCATGTTGAAAGAGTCATTTGGCTCTCTGAAGTGGAGATAAAACTGAAAATAAAGCAAGTCATTAGTTTCCATTGATAAGGTCTGTGCAGCTTGTTATATGAGATCGTTTGAGACAAAAAATCTTAGTAACAGGTATGTATGGTATTACTTCACTATCGGGGTCAAAAAATGTATCCTCCCCATGTTCTCTGCTCCACAGCTACTTTCCATCCCAGAGATAGCATACTCATAGCAAAATGATTTCTTACGTATGCATTAGGCCGTACAGCAGATCTCTCCAAAGACACTGAAATCTGGCACTGATTTTCAGAGCTACTGAGCACTCACGGATTTTTACTTACTTATACCAGTAAGAGAGCAGAATTTCACATAGGCTGTAGGTGCTTACTCTGAAGCCCGTCTATTAAAATTTTGTTACTTTTACCTCTTTGTTTTATCCCAAGTTCCAGGCTAGAAAAATAAATATTTGAAATGATTGTTTCAGTAAACTTTGGTATCCCCATTACAGACCTTTTCAGCTGGTTCGTTCTTCTTGTACACTTTCTGTACACTTTCTGCATGAGCTTGTGTCTGTGTATCACTGACGTACATGGTTGTTGGTGACACAGGACCCAACAAGATGATTAATAAATAGAAGGAGCAGCCATTGCTACAGCCATCTTTCCATAGCAAAGCACCTGAGATGAACTCAAGAGCAGACTTACCAAAGATGCAGCCTGTGCCTGGCACTGAACTCCCATGGGCGTATTACAGAATGCTCCCTGTTGCTGCCAGACTTGAAAGCTTAATTCGAAATAATGATATCTGTGAAAGCTCTTCACCTGCAGTGGATCAAGGCTGAGCACATACAAGCCTCGCTCTCTTTGCAAAAATGCAACACTTTCCTGTGAATGGCCACACAGCTGCTGCCAGACGAGCCATTTGGTGAATGGATAGGCAATCAAGAGCAGGTGTAACTAAACATTGCTAACTGTTGGGAATATTCGGTGCCCTGCTGCTCATAGGACATACTCAGGAGATCTCCAGAACCCAATGTGTCCTAATTAATAAATAGCTAGCTGAGCAGCAGAATCTTACAATGAATTTGCCCAGAGCCAGCTGAAAGTTAGTTTGCACTGAAAGAGCAAGTTGACAATGTGATGGAAGTTAGTGAATGAAATAATTTTAAAGGCACACTGCAGATTTAAGGAAAAAGAATACACATATTGCAGATCCTACCCACAGCAGCCATAAGAGCCCCACATGTGGATTTCCTATCCCATATCAGGAAGAAGCTGGCAGAGAAAGTGGCAGTGATCTGCACGGGGCTGCTGGCAAAGGAGGCAGCCTGACTTGACACCACCTCAGAGCAAGCCCCACAGCTGCAGGGAGTGCGTTGCCAGAGCCTCTCACTGACCCAAATGCCACCAAGAGAATGATACCCCAGAACTTGGCATCCAAATCCTGCAGCTATCAAACACGCCCTGCTTGGGGCCACAGCTGTCAATTCTCCACCTATACAGAGACACGGAGAGAAGAGCAGTGGGGAAAAAAGGCAGGGGCATTCGGTGCAAGCAATAGCCCACGTTATATTTAACTTTCAGAGTGTGGTTCTGCATACCCAAAAACCTCAGATAGATCCTGCACTGCCAGCAGGAGTGTGAGTATGGATACTCCAGCTTTTACTTGACTAGCAGGCTTTTACAGAGAAGCGGAGACAACTCTTAGCATCAGTTTCTTTGCTTTTGGTGTCTTACAAAACATTAC